AACTGGCCAACTCTGTTTGATGGACTGGGCTGCCTCACAGCCTTTACTCACAGGCCCCTAGGGAACCCGAACGTGACTCAAGTCATGCAGCCCCTGCGGCGCATTCCTTTTGCAGTGCGTGATGACATCACAAAAGATCTCCAGTCACAGTTGGAGGCAGGCATCATTGAGCCAGTCAACGCTGCCCCCTAGATTTCAAACTTGGTCATTGCAACCAAAAAGTCAGGTGGAATCTGGACCTGTGTGGATCTCTGTGCTGTGAACAATGTTGTTGTCCCGGATAAGTACCCCTTGCCTACAACTGAGGAGCTGGCTCCACGATCTTCACGAAGCTCGACCTGCATCAGGGTTATCTTCGGGTACCCTTACATGCAGCCAGCAGAGACCTCACGGCCTTTGTCACACATGCTGGCGTGTTCAGAAATACATGCATGCCTTTTGGACTTAGCTCCGCCCCCAGCTGCTTCCAGAAGTTGATGAGCACCATCCTCGCTGGAATACCTGGGGTGGCAGTCTATCTAGACGACAACGTGGTCCACGCCCCTGATCTCCACATCCATGATTATCGACTCCACAGAGTATTCAGCACTCATGCGGAACAACCTGACCCTGAACGGTGGAAAGTGCACCTTTGCAGCTCCAGCCGTCGAGTTTGTGGGGTTCCACCTGTCGGCCAAACGCATTGCCCCACTCATGTCGAACATTGAAGCTGTCCACCGGATCCCGGAACTGACCTCAGCCTCTCAGGTGGCCTCATTCTTGGGCATGACAGCCTACTACCTCCGGTTTCTGCCCTACTACTCTCAGACCACAGCGCCCCTTCGCCAGCTCCTCAAGAAGGACGAGCAATGGGCCTGGACGGCAGCCTGCTCAGACGCGGTCCACTCACTGAAGAGCCAGCTCACCACAGCCCCAGTCTTGGCTCACTTTGACCCCGTCTGCCCCACCATTGTCACATGTGACGCCTCAGCTGGAGCACTAGGAGCTGTCCTCTCACAGCTGCAGAATGGCGTTGAGAGGCCCGTCAACTTTGCCTCAAGGGCCCTGAACCCCACTGAACAACTGTACTCTGTGGGCGAAATGAAAAGCACTGGCCTGTGTCTGGGTGTGCGAAAGGTGGTACCTCTACCTATACGGCCGGCTGTTCACGTTCCGAACCGACCACCAGTCCCTCACGATTATACTGTCGGCATCAGGAACTGGCCACAAGCCACTTCGGCTGCACAGATGGGCCGACCGCCTCAGACAGTATGGCTATCAGCTGAAGTTCACTCCGGGGAGGGATAACGTGGTGGAAGACCTCCTCTTAATAATGTTTACATATCTTGCATTACCCATCTCATATGTATGTACTGTATTCTATACTATCTATTACTTATTAGCCTATGCCACTCTGATAATGACATTGCTCATCCATATATTTATATATTTTTATTCCATTCCTTTACTTAGATTTGTGTGTATTAGGTTTTTGTTGTGTAACGGTTAGATATTACTTTCTAGATATTGCTGCACTGTCTGAACTAGAAGCACAAGCATTTCGCTACACTCGCAATAACATCTGTTAAACATGTGTATGTGACCAATACATTTGATTTGATTTGATTTGACTGTTTGTTCCCACACTCAGTACTCTGACTCTCTATTGGTTACACGGACTCTTGGCCTCCCATCCTGTTCTAACCACCTCCTGCCGGCATTGTATTCATGTTACCTGATGAAATTGCAGTACAATATGATCTTGTTGCCATCTAATGCACATTCAAATGTCATAACTCAACACTGCAGAGCTCTCCCTGTCCTCTGCTGTGCCCTGATTGTATTACTGCTGATGATATCTGGAAATGTGCATGTACACCCTGGCCCATCTACTGTTTCTAGCCCCAATTCTGACTTCTGCTCTGATATCTGCTTCACTGATTTCTGCTCTCGTAAAAGCCTGGGTTTTCTGCACGTTAACACTAGAAGCTTATTACCTCAAATTTATCAATTGAAAGTGTGGGTTCACAGCTCCAATCCAGATGTGTTGGTCATTACTGAGACGTGGTTAAGAAAGAGTGTTTTGAACACTGATGTTAGCCTTTCTGGTTCTAACCTTTTTCGGCAAGACAGATCTTCCGAAGGTGGTGGAGTGGCAATTTACCAAGGAACACCTTCAGTACTCGGTTGTCTCCACCAAGTCTGTCCCCAAACAATTTGATTTGCTGGTTTAAAGCATTACATTTTCAAATAACTCTTTGTTGACTGTTGCTGGGTGTTATCATCCACCATCAGCACCGGCCTGTACCCTACCTGCCCTAAGCTCTCTCCTGGCCCCTTACACTAAGTCTGAATTTGTCCTGCTAGGTGACCTAAACTGGGACAATGGGACTCCCTAAATCTTTCTCAGATTATTACCAATCCCACAAGGTATGACTCCAAACACCCAGAAAAGGCTACTCTCCTTGATGTTATCCTCACAAATAATCCTGACAGGTATCAGTCTGGTGTTTTCTGTAATGACCTTAGTGATCACTGTTTTACAGCCTGTGTTCGTAATGGCTGCTCAGTGAAACAACCTGTCCTGATTTGTCATAGACGCTTGCTAAAAAACTTGAATGAGCAAGCCTTCATTCATGACCTGTCCTCTGTAAATTGGTATAGAATCAGCTTGATCCCCTCTGTCGAAGACTCTTGGACCTTCTTTTTAGAAATGATCAGTGGTATTATTAACAAACACGCCCCCATGAAGAAAATTAGAATTAAAAACAGGTTCAGCCCCTGGTTCGACCGTGATCTGGCAGAGTTACTCCACCTCAAGAATTCCATTTGGTGAAAGGCTCGGCACACGCATACTCAGGCTGACTGGCTCTCGTTCAGGCAAATGAGAAACAAGTGCACTCAGGCTATCCAGAAGGCCAAAGTTAGTTACAGTGGGGGAAAAAAGTATTTAGTCAGCCACCAATTGTGCAAGTTCTCCCACTTAAAAAGATGAGAGAGGCCTGTAATTTTCATCATAGGAACACGTCAACTATGACAGACAAAATGAGAAGAAAAAAATCCAGAAAATCACATTGTAGGATTTTTTATGAATTTATTTGCAAATTATGGTGGAAAATAAGTATTTGGTCAATAACAAAAGTTTCTCAATACTTTGTTAAATACCCTTTGTTGGCAATGACACAGGTCAAACGTTTTCTGTAAGTCTTCACAAGGTTTTCATACACTGTTGCTGGTATTTTGGCCCTTTCCTCCATGCAGATCTCCTCTAGAGCAGTGATGTTTTGGGGCTGTCGCTGGGCAACACGGACTTTCAACTCCCTCCAAAGATTTTCTATGGGGTTGAGATCTGGAGACTGGCTAAGCCACTCCAGGACCTTGAAATGCTTCTTACGAAGCCACTCCTTCGTTGCTCGGGCGGTGTGTTTGGGATCATTGTCATGCTGAAAGACCCAGCCACGTTTCATCTTCAATGCCCTTGCTGATGGAAGGAGGTTTTCACACAAAATCTCATGATACATGGCCCCATTCATTCTTTCCTTTACACGGATCAGTCGTCCTGGTCCCTTTGCAGAAAAACAGCCCCAAAGCATGATGTTTCCACCCCCATGCTTCACAGTAGGTATGGCGTTCTTTGGATGCAACTCAGCATTCTTTGTCCTCCAAACACGACGAGTTGAGTTCTTACCAAAAAGTTCTATTTTGGTTTCATCTGACCATATGACATTCTCCCAATCCTCTTCTGGATCATCCAAATGCACTCTAGCAAACTTCAGACGGGCCTGGACATGTACTGGCTTAAACAGTGGGACACGTCTGGCACTGCAGGATTTGAGTCCCTGGCGGCGTAGTGTGTTACTGATGGTAGGCTTTGTTACTTTGGTCCCAGCTCTCTGCAGGTCATTCACTAGGTTCCCCCGTGTGGTTCTGGGATTTTTGCTCACCGTTCTTGTGATCATTTTGACCCCACGGGGTGAGATCTTGCGTGGAGCCCCAGATCGAGGGAGATTATCAGTGGTCTTGTAAGTCTTCCATTTCCTAATAATTGCTCCCACAGTTGATTTCTTCAAACCAAGCTGCTTACCTATTGCAGATTCAGTCTTCCCAGCCTGGTGCAGGTCTACAATTTTGTTTCTGGTGTCCTTTGACAGCTCTTTGGTCTTGGCCATAGTGGAGTTTGGAGTGTGACTGTTTGAGGTTGTGGACAGGTGTCTTTTATACTGATAACAAGTTCAAACAGGTGCCATTAATACAGTTAACGAGTGGAGGACAGAGGAGCCTCTTAAAGAAGAAGTTACAGGTCTGTGAGAGCCAGAAATCTTGCTTGTTTGTAGGTGACCAAATACTTATTTTCCACCATAATTTGCAAATAAATTCATTAAAAATCCTACAATGTGATTTTCTGGATTTTTTTTCCTCAATTTGTCTGTCATAGTTGACGTGTACCTATGATGAAACTTACAGGCCTCTCTCATCTTTTTAAGTGGGAGAACTTGCACAATTGGTGGCTGACTAAATACTTTTTTCCCCACTGTACCCTGTGTGTTAAAAAGGTCTGTTTTATTTATTTTTAACAGAAAAGTTGTTTTTGGTAGTTCCGTTTTTGGGGGGAATCCTGTTTCCATCCCATATAGCAGGTGGTGGGAGGCACATTAAATTGTGTGATCACCAATATACTGTAACGACCCTGGATTTATTAGCGCGGATATCGACCTTGCCACGGGACCATGCTTTTGGGGAACAGTCAATGGCGCGCTGGACTTCGGGCTAGAAGGTTGAGGGTTCAAGACCTGCTCCCTGCCTGTTTCATTACAATACCTTAGAAGAAGAAGTAATTAGTAGGATTCTGTGTTTTCCCACGAAAAGTGATTGCTTTCGATAAAAACGATTTAACTGCTTCCCAATTTAAAATAGTTAGAAAATTCTAACATTTACTTTCTGGAAAAGAGCTGTATGTTTCTGGACAGCGCACCATGCTGCCTTGTTGACAAAATGAAATTGGCGCTCCTCTCTCCCCGCAGCTCAGTATAATCGAATCCGCCCACTGCCAGCTTTCTGTCAAAGTTGAGGGGGAACATCAAATTCAAGATGCTGGCACTCATAAACCGGCTTTTGGACTGGTTTGAGTCCCTCTTTTGGAAAGAGGAGATGGAGTTGACCCTGGTTGGACTTCAATACTCGGGGAAAACCACATTTGTTAATGTGATAGCTGTAAGTTTTTATTGTGCTAGCGCGCAAACGTTAGCTTGCTAGCTACGTTAGCACTAGCTAGCGATATCAGCAATATCGATGTAGCTAGCTACTAGTATCTTAAAGTTAGCCACCGTTAACGTACAATTAAACATAGCTAGCTAATTAGCATACCTTACTTAAAGTGTACTAGTTTGTTAGGTCAGCTAGCTATAGCCGGTAACTAGCTAGTTAGCTAACGTTATATACATGTTATGTTGATATTTGTGTGGTTTGATGGCAATTAGAAGCAGAAGACTAAGTTAGTCAGTTAACCATTATATTGGAATTTGGCTACAGTACAGATCATATTTTGCTCCCTAGACTAGGTTTCTTTCTAAAACATCTGGATTAGCTAGCTAGCCACGTTAGCTGTTAACTTTCATTTTTGCAACTTGGCTAGCTAGTTGGCTAGCCGGTATCTTCCCAGATAGTAGGCCCAATTATTGGTCATCAATCAACTCGCTGGTAATCACAGACTGTCAAGTGTTATGCCGCGTTCAAAACAACTGAGAACTTGGAAAAATAGGAGGTCAAATCATAACGTCAGTGATCTTCAGGTCGGAACTCCAGAAAGTGGCCCGAGTTTCCGAGATGAATGACCGTTCAAATTTATTTTCCCCAGTCGGAGCTCTTTTTTTCCTGAGTCCCAGTTGTTTTGAACGTTCGGAAGTCGGAGATTTCCGACTTCCCAGTTGTTTTGAACTACAGTAGATTTCAGATTATGATGGTTATAGTTGTGGCATCATTGAACAGAGCTCGATTTTACATTGATGTGATGTACATCGTGGAGTTGAGAAACTCGGCTACATTGAACATGTAGTGCACACCACAGGGCTCTGGCTATATTGGTTTGATGTCACACGCCTCTGAGGCTGTATCTTTTTAGTTTATCATCTGATGTAGCTATTAAAAATGTCACAGTCAGACCATTATTACTGTTCCAGCTGGCTGATAGGCGTTATTAGGTAGGTCATCTTAAACGTAGCACAGATAATTTTTGTCCAACCATTACTTGGCGATAATTCCGATTTGGAATTCCACATTAGGCTTGGGCGGTATCCAGATTGTCATACCGACCTTGTGCCATCCCTGGATATATACCAGCATTGAGCCTCTGTAATCCGAAATTTAAAATCCCATAGTGAATGCTAGGTAACGAGCTCATTGCGAATTTTATAAAGTCTTTGACAAACTATTTGCAGGACAGACATGCCAGCTCATAAAGTTGTACAAGTAACAAAAAAATACTACTCCGTTTGCTGCACGCACAAAACAAACATTAGACAGCAAGGCTCTTGATCCAGGATGGGATTCTCTGCTGTTACCAAAATAAGCTTGATTTTGCAAGAAGCTAACCAGTTAGCTAGATAATTAGCTACTAAATTAGCAAACCAACTTTTTAGACGGTTAACTTAATAGTTATGATATCTAGGTGGGAAATATTTAGTTGTGAATTCCATACTGTAACTAGATCACCTGGTGCGTGCTGTCTCTCGTCGTTGTGCTTGTAAACAAACACCATGTAACTGGGGATTACCGGTAAATTTAATAATAAAAAATTATGTGACTGGTGAAATGAAGAACGCAATCTGCTTTATATCCTAACGTATTGCACAAGTTCACTGCAGGTATTTACTTAAAAAGTAGCTTCAAATGTATACTTTTTTTCTTCTCAAATAAATAGTTAACATTATTGAAAAAAACGAATGCTCTGTTATTAAATAAAACATGTTACTCTATGAAGTAGTCCAACTGTGTACGCTGCCATCTTGTCTATTTAAAATGTTCTCATTGATCGAGACAGTTGAGCGTCATCATGACATGCAGCACTTTGGGGTGGACACCAACCTGTCTCAATCAATGAGAATATTTTAAATAGAAAATTCTCTGTGCTACGCTTAACATTACCTACCTATTTTATTTATTTATAAAAGCCTATTCCTTCAAGGTATTGTGTGTAGATTGATTAGGGGATTATTATTATTTTTAAATACATTTTAGAATAAGACTGTAATGTAACAACATTTTGAAAAAGTCAAGGGGTCTGAATGCACTGTATCTTATTTATCACATGCACACCGATACCGAGCCTTAGAGCAGAAAATCTGTCAGACAGCGCTTTTATAAGACCAATCATTGAGCAACAATTCTAAATGCAATCGTGTGTTAAAAATAGTTTTTTTGGCCACGATTAAAATAGCTGATATTTTTTTTCTAAGCTTTCCCTTAGTAAATATAATTAAATTGCCAAAATTATATAGCCTAATTAGCCTACTCCTGTCTATACAGAAATAAATAAAATAATTCAAAATAGGCATAATTTAGCTTCCCCTAGCCTTAAAAAATATAAAAAAATATTAAAAATAGATGTGGAATGTTTTAAATCGCATTGCCTACAGTCAGAAGGAAAGGCAGTGTGAGCAATTTGGGAAGCACATGCTGCAAATAACAAATATATGATTTTTGAGTTGCAACTGTCAGTGAAAAGTAGAGGCCCAGCCAGGCATATCGTAATATTTCAAAATTAAATAGCTGGAAAACAGTTTGGAAAGCAAATGGCTATTGCTGTAAAAAGAAGACAAAAAGGCAGATGAGTCTTTTCATTATCAAAATTATCAACTTAATTGAGCGAACAACAAGTAGGCTTGTAGCCTATCAATTTTGGCACTAGCGGAGAGCATTGGCCATATCCCTGGTGAATGCGCACTGCGCATATTCACTCTTTATCATTGTTGGGCAGGGCCTAAAATGAACACCTGCCAAATGCGGGTAGATTTTGGCATTGACGGATAAAGGCATCCGCATACTTCCCAGCCGAAACAGTTCGGAAGAGGTTGTGCATATAGTATGACATCATTTTGAGACGTTTTTGTTCATTTTGGACTTCGGTAAGGGTTTTTCAGGCTGTTCCAGCACACCATTTTAATTTTCTGGAGGCAAGCTGAAGTCTACGCCCCTTCAACGGTGATTGGTCAACAGTAGGGATTCTTCAATAAGTCTTTGTCATTCAATGAGAGACAACTGGTTTTCATGCAATTTTTTTCATTGAGAAATACTGCACCAAACATCATTGTTAGATGTAAGACTATGGTCTCCTCAGCAAAAACAAATGAAAGACAGATTTGTTGAGTTATCTTCGATTAATTCAGACTATTTTGAGGAAGCGTATACTGGCTACGGCGTCTCAAAATGGACAAACGGTACTATTGTTATTTCTCATTTCAAGCGAAGGTCTTTTAAGGAAGTATGCGAGCACCAGCCGAACTGAAGCATGTTGACGCCTTAAGATGTCTATTTCACCAGCCACATTGGCAGGTGGTCAGAGCTCGAAAGTGCGAGCATTTCACTTGCATTTGTCAATTAAAATAGTCAAGTATGATCACATTTATAGTAAAGTAAATGCTGCAGTAGCTGTTTTCAAAGTATTTCTGCCGCTTTGTTTCATAGCTTGTAAATTAAATCGCACAATGTCAAAGAACTACGAATCCTATAGCCTATTCCACCTCGCGCTGCAACACTGCCTGGCTGGGGGCTGTGCGCACGTGAAGTGCTGAGTGAAATATTCATTTTTAGAAGCGCTGTGCACAGGTATAAAAGTTGGTCTAATTTACTTGATACGAAAGTCTACTGAAGTGAGACTTTGTCCTTGTGTTTCTTGGCTGTTTACATTTTGTTCACAAGCTAGGTTTTTTGGGGGTATTTTATTAGGATCCACATTAGCTGTTGCAAAAGCAGCAGCTACTCTTCCTGGGGTCCACACAAGGTTGTTTTTCTATGTTTGAGTTTCAACTGCTAGGGAAGAGAAGACAATGCTTCTACTAGTCATACTCAATCTCACAGGCAGAAACATTACAAAGGATGCTGATCTGTTCTTTTGTGTGTTGGTGTAATTGTAGCAGAAAAAATATATTGGCTGGTAAGAAATCCGAGTGATTGGTAGATTTTTTAAATCTTCCTGCCACAGGGGCTGGTGGACCAAAAAGTAAATTGTGTGCCCTGTTGTTGGGTCCGTGCCACTTAAAAGTTTGTTTTTGGGCAACTTCTTACACTATACACACTCAGCCATGCATTGAACAGTCTTTTTTGCCAACAGTGATTGAGTTTTATATTAGCCAAAATGTACAATCTACTCATCACATTATGAATAGTAGGCTATCTTACATAAGTCTGCAAATGCATGATGGATGGAATGCTTTATTATAAAGGTGCATTTTTATGGTGAAAATGTGCTTCCCCAAACATGAAACTCACGCTCCGCCTATGCATAGGCTAGTGATTTTGCTGTTCATTACTCGTCTTGTTGGCTGAGGAAAAGTAAATGTGGACAGTTATTCTAACATCTTCAAAGTGCGCGTTAAGGACAGAAGTCATTGCATCCTCGATTTACATGTTCTGTTAAGATTAATGACCATAATCTATATGTGATTTCTGTCATTCTGAGCACCGTGGGTGGACGCCCTAATCAGGTTACGTACCCAATGCATATGGGTCCGGTACATTTCTCAAATGTCTGGTAAATTAAAATGCTGCCGGTCAAATGTCTGGCGCCACATTTTCATAACGGAAACCCTGCTACACACAATACCCCATAATGACAGTGAAAACATATTTTGACATTTTTGCAAATGTATTGAACATGAAGTACAGAAATCTCTATGACACTCCAAATTGAGCTCAGGTGTATCCAATTTCCTTTGACCCTTTGTAGAACGCTTGTGGAAAGCCAGCATCGTTTTCACCAACATGTTGACCATGCAGACTGCAGCGTGAATGGCAAGAAAGTGTTTGTGACTCCATCATCGAGCAACAGCTCTCTTCTTGAGTGACGGTGCAGGGTTTAGTGTGGGAAGCGGCATGCAGCAGGAGGAGAGGGAGAAAGACGACTGAAGTAGCAAACAAAGTGAACTATAAAAACGAACATTACACCTGCCTGAGTTGCGTATCACATTTAATAAACCAAACATTCAAATACCGTTATAGAAGGTAAAGTAACCGGTCCATGCATCAATACCGGTATATAGTAAAAAAACAGTATACCGCCCAGCCCTATGTGAAAGTCCTTGAGTGGCCCAGCCAATGCCCAGACTTAAATCCCATTGAACATTTGTGGAAAGACTTGAAGATTGCTGTTCACCGCCACTCCCCATCTAACTTAACAGAGCTTGAGAAAATCTACAAGGAAGATTGGGAGAAAATCCCCAAATCCAGATGTGCAAAGCTGATACAGACATACCCAAGATGACTCAAAGCTGTAATCGCCGCCAAAGGTGCGTCTACAAAGTTTTGGCACAGGGGTGTGAAGACTTACGTAAATGAGATTTCTGATTTCTATTTAATCCATTTTGAATTCAGGCTGTAACACAACAAATGTAGAATAAGTCAAGGGGTATGAATACTTTCTGAACATGGACAGGTATAACTGGGTTCAGGAAGCAAGGCTATGGTCCAGAGTTGGAGGGCTCCCCCTACTGCCACATTGTCATTGTCTTTGCTCCCTTTGACTCAACTGTCTTTTCACCAGTTGTGTTGGTAAAACAAGCAGGCCAGGGTCTCTTACGCAATCACTAGTGTTACAAGTAGGATTTCTCAAAAGCAGAAAATTGTGATCCTTTGTCCTGATTCTTTGGAAATCGTGATCCTTTCTTCTTGTCAAAGCAGAAGTTTGGATGTGCAAGATCAAAGACCGAAAGAAGCTAGCTGATCAAAAGATTGTGAAAGGCAGTTGTAGGTCCAATAGAACAGTTCCAACAGAACAGAATGAACTTGATGACCTATGCCATGCTCTGACTCCCTTCAGCAGCATGCTTGCCTCAACACCAAGGCAGTCTGCTTTTTACTGTCATAGCTAACAATAAAGATGTATGAGAAATTGATCACGATTTGATACTTAAAGCTTCCATGTAGCCAATAATTCCAGGTATTTCTTTATAGGATGTAGAAAGAGTAGGGTTAGTGTACATATTAAGCACACCAACATCAAAGTTTAGACATTTCTAACATATGCAGCCCTAATTTTCATTTAAAAAAGTGGAGATACAATGAAAGATTAATATGACTTTACTTACACCATTTCTTTAGGTGAGATAAAAATAATTGAGTTAATGGGTACCGAATGTATCCTTTAAGCCCATGGGGGTTCCAAATAAGCCCACCTCTTAAATAAGCAATTTTAATGTATTTCCACATTTTAAATGAAAAACAGACAGTTCTTATGTAAGCTTAAATTATAATTATGTCCCCTAAAGTTATTAAAATCAGTTGATCATTACTATTCATCATGGAAGTAGCATTCATAACAGGGGGTGTCCAATCGTATCCGCAGAGATCAATTTGGGGCCAGGATTTTGTTCTGGCCAACCAGTACATACCTTATTAAACTAATCATAGACTTCAATAAAGAGTTGATTAGTTGAATCAGGTTTGTTACTGCTTGGTTAGAACAAAAACCTACACCCGCAACGGTCCTCTGTGGATAAGACGCCATGCACAAAGACCATAACACAAACAACTTTTAATGAATTATCTGAAAGCTGGTTCACATTTGCTGTACTCCTATTCTTGTTAATTATACTGAACAAAAATATAAACGCAACAATTTACGATTTTACTGAGTTACAGTTCATATAAGGAAATCAGTCAATTGAAATAAATCATTAGGCCCTAATCTATTGATTTCACATGACTGGCCAGGGGCGCAGCCATGAGTGGGCCTGGGAGGGCATAGGCCCACCCACTTGGGAGCAAGGCCCAGCCGATCAGAATTTTTCCCCAAAAAAGGGCTTTATTACAGACAGAAATAATCCTTAGTTTCATCAGCTGTCTCAGATGATCCCGCAGGAGAAGAAGCCTGATGTGGAGGTCCTGGGCTGGTGTGGTTACACAGGGCCTGCGGTTGTGAGGCCGGTTGGACATAATACCAAATTCTCAAAAATTACGTTGGAGGTGGCTTATGGTAGAGAAATGAACATTCAATTCTTTGGCAACAGCTCTGGTGGACATTCCTGCAGTCAGCATGCCAAATGCACGCTCCCTCAACTTGAGACATCTGTGGCATTGTCCTGTTTGACAAAACTGCACATTTTAGAGTGGCCTTCTATTGTCACCAGCATAAGGTGCACCTGTGTAATAACCATGCTGTTTAATCAGCTTCTTGATATGCCACACCTGTCAGGTGGATGGATTATCTTGGCAAAGGAGAAATTCTCACTAATAGGGACGTAAACAAATTTCGTGCGCAAAATTTGAGAGAAATAAGCTTGGGATCTTATTTCAGCTCATGAAACATGGGACCAACACTTTACATGTTGCGTTTATATTTTGGTTCAGTATAGTTCAACTTGTCTTCCTAAAGCCTGTCTGAAGACGGTTTTAAATGTCCCTTTCTACTGTTGTATTACAAAGGTACATGTGGTGGAGCAAAAATGTGAAACACCTGGATGAATGAGGGACAACAATATGACAATGTCCTGGCCCTAACTGCATGATTAGTCATTTTCTTGTCTCTCATTTGTAAAAACAAAAATGGACCACTACTCGTAGGTCTTCTATCCCAGATATCCTTCAACCCTGATCATGTTCTTCTCTCTCTGCATCAACGACTACCTGTCCACTCCAAACATCTTGGAGAGAGTACAGAGGCTTTTCATTCTTAATTGTTTTTAATCTTTGTAAAGGAACCATGGATAGATGCATGATATGCATAACTGTAGTTTTTGAGTATTTTAATCAACTTAAATCTGAAGAAATGCTCAGATGTATTGAATATTACAGATATCAACACACAATCCCCATGTTTCAATGCATACTGGGCTTAATTGGAACAGCAATGATTTATGGTAAAAAAGAAATGAGTACCGGTAAAAAAGTTTCCTCAATATTTGGAAACCAATGGTCTGGGGTGTAAATATACACTATATAGTAATTTACAATATTATGCAAAGTTAGTGTTGATAATATTGAACAATATTAATTTATTTACATTCTGTATAGAGAGGGTGCTTTTTGTGCTACTGTTCCTTTTAAGCCCACCTGAGAGAAATGTAACATTTACAAAAAAGGCATCTATGTATAACAAAGCAAGGTTCATTTAACAGTAAAATAAGACAAATTGCATTAAATGTTAGCTGTGAGTGCTTGAGATCTATTATATTGTTGTGGTTCACCAAGTTATACTGCCACTGTATTGACTGACGTGGTGCAACTGTAGCATGAATAACCCATATTTTCAGATGGCAAGAAATAGCACACTACATGGGTATTAACTACTATCATGTGCATATCAACACATGAATCTCTTAATTTTACATTAAGTATGATCACTTATCTGAGAAGGTACTACAAATATCTGAAAAATTTGTTTCTGAGTCGCCCCCATACAAGTATTTTTTGCAGCTTTGAAATTGGCCACTAGTAGGAACTTACACAACTGTCAATAACTTAATAATAAAACATCTGATTGGCTTAGAATAAAAACTGGTATGGATACAACAACTACATGAACTGGTTAAAACATGAAATAGCAGAAAAGGTTTATTTTTGTCTTTTTTCTTTGAATCCCAAAATGGAAGTAGGTTTAATGGGTACATGGGCTTAATAGGTACACCTAACTCTTCTGTCAGTGCTGTAGTGAAAGAGATACTTGCCATTGATGGGGAAGTGCCCATGTGGTTGGTTGTAATCTGTTTGAGTGAGTAAAAAGGAGTAGGATGTGGGTGGTGTTTCCAGCCAGGCTTCAGTCATGAGACTTTGCACTCACTTCCACTTAGCCCTGGTCCAGTGACTTAGTCATGTGCTGTTACATACTGTATATGCGCCAGACAAAGCAAAGGTCTTTGTCTTGCTAAAATACTGTTTGGATTACACAAAAGGGTAAGAGAGCAGACATCAGAATGACATATTTCTTTTCTTCTGTCTGATCGTCAAGAGTGTAGCCTATTATTTAGGGTTGACTAAAAATACACTATTTTCAAAACATTTCAGTGATCTTAGAATATAGAAGATTGGGTCCTCTGAAACTTGTCTGCATGCCAAACATATTTCCTCTAGAGCCCTCAAAGTCAACTCTGGACCTTCGAAGCCAGTTCCACTGCTTTTTTTGGGTGCAATTAATGTTCAGGTAGAACAGCAGGCTCCGGACCTCGTAGGGTAGAGTTAAATACCCCTGCTGTAGATCAGGGTTTCCCAAATTCAGTCCCGCCCCCCCAAAACGTGCACCCAGGGTGGGCCCCAGGACTGAGTTAGGGAAACCCTGATCTAGTCTGTGACCTTCACACGCCTTTAGGCTTAATGACACTTGTGAAACTACCATAAACCTTTTGCACATGAATATCTTTTTTTAAACGGAATAACAGGAAATGTGCAAAACTAGTAAACCACAATGAGGCCTAGGTTTATGTCTGACATTATTAGTTAGTATAGTGGCAATTCCAGATGACATCACAAACAATTTGACCTTCTATGTTTGTTTATGCCAGCTCAGCTTGTACAACTCAAAATTGATCAATGGCCTGCTGTCTTCTTTTTCAGTCTGGGCAATTTAGTGAAGACATGATCCCAACAGTCGGATTCAACATGAGGAAGGTCACAAAAGGCAACGTTACCATCAAGGTAGGTCTTCAGTCACAACAGTGTATAGGTTACTGTAATGTTCCACAGTGACAATCTATACCGACTGCATGAGAAAATGAAATGAAAATACCTAGGCTAATTTTTGTTCCTCTGGTTTTCCAGATCTGGGATATAGGAGGGCAGCCGAGGTTCAGGAGCATGTGGGAACGCTACTGTCGTGGAGTTAACGCAATTGTGTGAGTATCTGAGTTTGGCCATTCCTGTCAGTCTGCATTGGTACAATTGAAATGCAGGAAGAGGACAGAAATGCTGAAGATTGATTGTTCTGTTAGGGTTAGTTCAGTGGATACCGGTCAGTGTTCGAACATTGTGATGGGCATGTTTTGAACACTTCCATTCCTTTACAGTATGCACACCACTTGCTCTTTTAGATTTTTGATGCGATTTGTAAACTTGTTGTGACCTGTTAATTTTTTTTTTTTTTTTAGATATATGGTGGACGCAGCAGACCATGAGAAGGTGGAAGCTTCCAGAAATGAGCTGCACAATTTGTTAGACAAGCCTCCGTTGCAAGGAATTCCTGTAAGTAGGTCTACACTTACGGAACTGTTAGGAACACATGTAAATGAGGGAGTTTCTTTATATGATCAGTCAGCAGACATTTCTGCCACACAATATCTAAACTGTTGTGCTTTTTAGGTTTTGGTGCTTGGCAACAAAAGAGATCTCCCCAGTGCTCTAGACGAGAAGCAGCTCATTGAAAAACTGTGAGTATGAAGAGAAGTTATTAGGCAGTGTTATAGTACTCAAGTCGAGTCCCGATTTTCATGACTTGTGACTCGACTTAGACTCTACCATTGGTGACTCGGACTCGCCTTCTCGTGACTTGTATTTGCACTTGGACTGGATGGGCTACTATGTTACGCAGAATATTAGCAGCACTGGGTTACGCAGAGCAGCGAGTGTTCGGTTCTCTAGCAGTGGGAAGACGCCAAATCCGGCATACACAGCCTACATCAGCTGGTGAGTTGCTGGGGAAGCAAGGAATGATTGTGGGCAGGCAGGCTCCGCTCCACCTCCGATCAAAGGCTACACAAACGACTGTTTTGCTTCCCCGTCACCAGCCTACTGCTTTACGAAGTTGAAAACGGTAATCGTATTGAGTTTAACCATTTACATTTACATCATTTAGCAGACGCTCTTATCCAGAGCGACTTACAAATTGGTGCATTCAACTTATGATAGCCAGTGGGACAACCACTTTTTATTTTATTTTTTATGGTGGGGTGGGGGAGGGGAGGGGGGGTAGAAGGATTACTTTATACTATCCCAGGTATTCCTTAAAGAGGTAGGGTTTCAAGTGTCTCCAGAAGGTGGTTCAGTGACTCCGCTGCCCTGGCGTCATGGGGGAGCTTGTTCCACCATTGGGGTGCCAGAGCAGCAAATAGCTTTGACTGGGCTGAGCGGGAACTGTGCTTCCGTAGAGGTAGGGGAGCTAGCAGGCCAGAGGTGGATGAACGCAGTGCCCTTGTTTGGGTGTAGGGTCTGATCAGAGCCTGAAGGTAAGGAGGTGCCGTTCCCCTCACAGCTCCGTAGTTACATGTAACTAAATGTAATCGAAAATGTAATCTACGTCATCCCCAAAAGTTATTATTTATCATGAGAGAGCCATAAACAATAACTAGTAATGCTGCATACTCAAAGAACGGTTAAAATCTCACCTTTCTGGTAAAAATAGTTATAAATTGCTGAGGTGCAGTCACTTTTGAGGACACAGCTCAAGTATACAGTACAAATACGATAAAAATGAAATATTTCATGATGTATTTCCTATTCAACAAAGCTGTTTAAGGCTCGAAATGACTTTCTAAATATAGCATAATCAAATTATAAAATGACTATATATAGGATGTCACCTTCCTTATAACTGTAAAATATGTACATATTTGTATGTTTAGTGTTCGAGAGAATTTGCATATTTTCTAAAGGTCTCTCTTGATCAAACGTCTGTCCCCATCACTGTGAACATCTCACAGAGCTCTAGCTTGGCTTCCTGAACTCGTTAGGAACTCACCTTTCATCTCATACTAATCTCACCCGTCTAAGACAGTGTTTTATGTTTCAAATGTATGAATTATTTTAGATTAATGGCTATACATTGATCTCAGAATGTGCTACCGTGATGAAAGAACTCTTTCCTGCTGCACTACGATGTAACGATTGCAGGCATGTGCTTTGTCCTTGGTTGTGATGTAGGGTTCAGCCAGGAGTTGATGGACAGTCGGAAGAGCGAATTAAATGGTAGGAGGGACATCCCAGCTTCAAGTGGTTTCAGATTTTACATCCTACGTCACACAGGTTCAGCAATAATACTGTGTCTGTGGGAACCAGGACTATTGCTCAATGCAAGCATTTTCGATCTACGGTATCCACAGATCGATTTATAATTGAAAATGGCAGTCGGAACTGGTACCAGAACCATGCAGGTCCCCTAAAAAGGGGACCATACATCTGAGGTTTTAATAGTAAAACAACAGTCTAGCTATTTTCTCTCTCTCTCTCCCCTTGAGTATAGAAAAGTAGGCTGTCTTTGAATTTGTCGTCTCGCTCTACCCTCCCACACTTCCCCCTGCATCCCATAGCCAGGTTCGGACAAGTCTCCCTTTAGTTTTCACTCTACAATAAAAAAAACGACACAAATATCAGGGGGCGATTTTACAAAAAAGTAGCTGAGAGCCTGACTTACCATTAATTTATGTAATAAATAAGTAGTGAAACACAGGTATTGAGTGTAGAACTTGTGAGGTAGTGATGAATAGTAAATTAGTTGGGGTTTTTCATGAGGGAGTGGCGATATACTGCCAGCTAGTGGCGACTAGAAACGATTGCATAATAAGACCTATTTATAAATTGATGGACTCGTGAGTCGCCCATTGGTGACTCGGACTTCAACCATAGTGACTTGACTTGGACTCGAGTACAGGTGACTTGGGACTCGACTACGACACTGGTATGAGGTGTTCCCTACCATCAAACCTACAGCAGTAATCACACAGCATTTGACGCATCTGAGCTGAGGTAGTTTAACAACTCTAAATCCCACTTTTAAAGTTCAATAAACTAATTCTAACTGAACGAGTCCCTCTATCATTGTGCCTTGCCATTGTGAGTTAGGGCCTGTAGTGGCTAGGTTCTAACATTTCAAAAGGCCACATTAGACGCTTTTACAAGGACTGGTTCCAACGCGTTTTCCCCATTGAGAGACTTGAGAGTTTTGTTCTTGTTGCAATTAAAATGTAATTTACTACTAACAAAAAAAAAAAGTCCAGGTTTGTCACACAGATTCCAGTTGATGAATGGTAAGACAAAGCAATATATTCTGGGTGTTCTAAACCAATTCCAAGTGATATTGATGAATTAAAATGAATATGAATGATAAAGTAAATGGTTAAAACGGCTGGAAACTGTTTATTTCCACAAGAGATTATGGCAATAACTAGATTTAGGCATACATTGTGCCTCCTAACTTTTAAACAAAATAGCTTTTCAGTTTTCTTCCATGCTGTGATCTTGGATGTGCTTATTCACTTTAAGATGAATACCCTAATATGGTAGCAGGAGAAATATGTTCATATCACACACAATTCCTTATTAAAGTCACATTTTCTATTGTTATTTTTTCTAATCTATATACTTATGACTTTAACTATCTTGGAAGACAACAGTTACCATTCTTGAACATTACATTTGCTTTTATAAAGGGCTACTTTGCTGGAGTTTGGCTATCTTAATCTCACATCAGAAAAGAGCTAATGGTTTTATTTTAGAGGAGGAGCAGTTATGATTTGATGTTTTAGGCCTTTTTTTTTTATAAGCGTCATTCTTACTGAACCATTGCCCTCGTTTTCCATTGAGAAACACAGCATTCTCTTTTCTTCTTCACTAGTACTGTACTGCTATTAGAAATGATACAGGTTTTCAAAAGGAACCAGCTCCCTCTGCTAGCCAGTTCAACAGTTTCTAGCAGGTTATATCAGTTTTCTTTACTATAATAATAATAATAATAATAATGCCATTTAGCAGACACTTTTATCCAAAGCGATTTACGGTCATGTGTGCATAAATTTTTACGTATGGGTGGTCCCGGGGATCGAACCCACTACCCTGGCATTACAAGCGCCATGCTCTACCAATTGAGCTACAATTACTGCTTTCTTTCTGCAGGAACTTGGCAGCTATTCAAGACAGAGAGATTTGCTGCTACTCTGTTTCCTGCAAAGAGAAAGACAACATAGGTGAGTAAGATGGTGACAAAGGAGGATGGCAGGTTTTGTTTGTGTCAGAGTGGAAGGCTGGATGAGAGAGAACTATAACATAGTGCACTCAAAGTGGCTATATAAAAACCTTTGTGTCCCCTTTGTATCACCATCCATGCTGAGCCACTACTGTAGGTGTCCGTTGTTTCACCCATTCATCTACTGTCTCTCACACTGACCCCCCCATGCCTCTCCTGCCTTCCAGTTATCACACTGCAGTGGCTCATCCAACACTCAAAATCTCGGAGAAGCTGAAAGTACAGGAACTGTGCCCTCCCAGCTCCATCTGCCATGTTACCCTCATGCCACATCCTGCTCACTCTGATGTATAGTTGTCCTTCCAACTCAGTTGCTGCACTGTGCCGCTTGTGCCCCCCTGTTGTTATTATCTCCCACAACCCCTCGTACTACTGCACTACTAAAAGATGGTACCCTCTGATCTATACCATATTCCACGTCCCATGAGTCACAGAATCGGCATTACACCTCCGCCACGGGGGGCTACTTCAGTCTCCTGAACAGAGAGAGATTCAGTCTGCCTTCTGCATTCTACGGGCTACATGACAGACGTTTCCCAGGTCTGTAAGCCCAATAGCCCAACCCTATAAAACTAGTGCAGGGTATGCTATTGGGTCATCCTAGACTCACAGGATGGGTTGTTCAGCAACTCACTGGGGCCTCTAATCATGATACATGTTCTCCAGACAGTCATGTATGAAGCTAGAAGAAAGTACATAGACATATGTTTATATACATCATTAGGACTTCCAGGTTCCCCTCATGTTTCTGTCATGTTCTACTGTAAGATTGTAACTGTTTTATGGCTATTGCCAAATCAAAATGTTTGTTTTGAGGACATTTCTAATATTATATATAAGATTTTTACTGACGTGAGCGTATATGATTATATTTGAAAAGTTTGAATGTACTGAAGGTAAAGCTATAGTGGGTTGGTTGTGTGGTTATCAGCCTTGTTTTGAATTTGCCTCAGTGGAACGATGTCCTCTGTGCTCTCAATGAGCTGAGAGAGAGTGGCGGAATTGAAAGTGCCTTGTGCAATATCTCTCATCTCTGAAGCAAAGCAGCATGCAAAGTGTGCCTATCTTAGCAATAAAAAAAGAACACCACTCGGATATATTGCAGAAATAAAAAGGCATGCTTATTAATTCAGACATTGTACTGTTATGTGTTCGCACTCAAATTGGGATATTTGCCGTGGCACACTTTTGAAAATGATAAATATTAATGGCGTCAATTATTATTATTTTGTAAATATGTTTAATCTGGGTGGATAAGAAGGGTGAGCTGTGCTTAAAGAGTAAGTTTGTAATAAAAATTAAGGAAAACATTTGATTTAGTCTACACTCATCATTGGACTAATAATTGTACCAAGAATCTCAATTTGAGACTACTGGTAGGCTATGATTGTAACTCAAACAGATGCACAAACAAATGTCAGATAGTAAAAACTAAAAATATATTTTTATTTGATGTCATTTGTTCTGAATGTAAATAATGCAAAGTATGCTTTATGGGATTTTCTGGTCGAATGTTATTTTCTGACACCTTCTCCTGTCTCTGCCCCCACTACTTTTTCATGCTTGTGGCTATTTTCTATTGGCTCTAAAGTTATATTTCTTGACACACAGCAAAACTGACATGCATGGTAGCCAATTGCTGAAACGCGTCTGCCCCCTCTTTCTTGATGACGATATGACTGGAGCTCCAATCACACCTTAGAACCGGGGAGGGGCTGGTTTTGTTGACAGGAAGAGTGTGGTGCGCTATCGACTTTGTCAGCCAGGCTGCCTTGTAAGCAATAAACAGAAGACAATTCAGCCATCTGTTCATCAAAGGATTGTCAAATTGAACTATGGTTTTTAAGACCGATCCAGAGCAAATATGCAATGGAGGTCAATAGTGGTTGCTCTCGTCGTGCTCAGACTCGCTGTAAGTTGTCTGCTATGGCTAGCGTTTGGACTGGGACCAAGCTGGGGATTCAACTTCCCCCTTAATTTCAATTTCCACAAAATAGAACTGTTTAAGCAAGATGATGGGGCATCCGCAAAGGCCAATTCCTGGTCACAACGAATACACGGCCATAGAGACGCACAAAGCAGGACATCTTGTGCCAGTAAAGAGGACTCACCTAAGAAGTCTTACCTTAGCCTCTTTGAGGGGGACAGGGACGAGTATGACAGGAGATATAGTTCCTTCCCGGACACACTCAAGTTAAAGATGAAAGGCATGGCCAAAGACATGTTCTACTTTGGATATGACAACTACATGAAATATGCCTTTCCTGAGGATGAGCTGAATCCCATTGACTGTCAAGGGAGAGGGCCTGACGTTCTCAACCCGTGAGTCATATATTGCCCGATATAGCTAGGCCTAGAACCAGTCTGGTAACACGCTCGTGCAATTGATTATTAGGCTGCGGGTATGTGTGTGCACGATAACTTGCTGGATTGAATGATTGATGTAATAGGTTGGTAGACTACCCTGTTTTACTAGCTGAAAGGTGTGTCAACTGTCAATTCAACATTTCCATTCTGACTGATGTCTGGGTGTAATTTGCATCGATCTGTCATGCAGGACTTGTTAACAGATCTGGTTAAATATCTAAATAAATACAGTTACAGTAAGGCTTCTATTTGCCTGGAGACCAGGCAAGGGTTCTATTTGCCTTTATATACCGGGTAGTTTGGATACTGTGTGCTGATTTGGCTAAAACAGCATTCAGGTGTGTGTATGTGGGACCATATACCATTGACTTTTAGCCTTTTCACCTTGACATTCTTTCAAATCTGATAACAAAAGGCACAAAGAAAAGGCTCAACTGGGCGAAACTTCATCTCTCTCTAGCTGAAACGGTCAATCCATTTAACTTGTTCAACTTGTGATCAAGTTGAATGTGTCCCATTATTAATAACTTGGTGCTTGCAATATAGCCTACATATACATGCCCTCGGTTATTGTCAAGCCTGTTATCTTTTTCATTGCTGTTTTTTCAGGTCAAACATCAACATCAATGATGTTTTGGGAAACTATTCCCTGACACTCATTGACACCCTTGACACATTACTGGTAAGCAGTCTTATTCTGTATTCCTGTTTTATTTCTGTGGGCTTTTAGCGGAATGGTAGTGCTAAAACGGTTTACTGTCAAGGGTCTTTTCAATGATCCTGATAATGTTTCTCGTTCCAGGTACTGGGGAATGTGTCAGAGTTTCACAGAGCTGTGAAGTTGGTGATAGACACAGTGTCTTTCGACAAGGACTCCACTGTGCAAGTGTTTGAGGCTAACATCAGGTATACATGTAATTCCTTTCTAATATTGAGTTGCCGCTAGCGTTTCAGTAAACCACAAAGAACATTTTGTCGTCTTTCCAAGTGCCAAAAAAAAGCTATGCAAGTGTTGTGATTGTAGATTAGGTATTGGTTAAGTGTTGTATTGTTTAAAGTAGTACAAGGGTAGCTCTTACCTAGTGGTAGGAGCAGAGTTCAATGCATTTCTCTGAACCATATCTAAATGCATAACCAAGGACTACCTTCTAACATCGCTTGATGGTTGTCTCATTCATTCATTCTTTGTCCATCAAGGATCCTGGGTAGCTTGATCTCTGCTCACATCCTCCTGACTGACCCTAAGCATCCCTTCGGCAACGTGGGTCTGGAGGACTATGACAATGAGCTACTGCACCTGGCCCACGACCTGGCGGTACGCCTGCTGCCAGCCTTCGAGAACACCAGCACAGGCATTCCCTACCCCAGGGTAAGAGGAGAGGAGAGTTGCATAGTTAATGGCCTGGGTTCCTAAGCGATTTGACAGTCCTGGTTTCGTAGACGGGGGAAATACTAAACAGGGGTGGAGGGAGATCTAAGACCATTAAACAACAACAGCGGTCCACTATGTCTCATTGACATTTACTTCACCTGTTGTTTACAATATATTACGAGTACAACTAAGCCCTTTTGAAATGACTGTAATGTTCTTCAGTGACTGATCGCCCTGTCACTTAATTTCCTCAGGTGAATCTGAAGAGTGGTGTCCCTCCAGACAGCATCAATGAGACTTGCACAGCAGGCGCTGGCTCCCTGCTGGTGGAGTTTGGCATTCTCAGCCGTCTGATTGGAGACTCCACGTTTGAGTGGGTGGCCAGACGGGCTGTCCGAGCCCTGTGGAAACTGAGGAGCAATGAGACGGGCTTGCTAGGTGAGTAGATATATTTTTTGTAGTCTGTTTGTACGTAGATGTTTGCTCATGTGTAGCAGCATCCTTCCCTCTTGTTGTATATCAAATGGTTACCTCTTCTCTTTAACTCTCAGGGAACGTGGTGAACATCCAAACGGGACAGTGGGTTGGCAAGCAGAGTGGCCTGGGAGCAGGGATGGACTCCTTCTACGAGTACCTGCTCAAGTCTTACATCCTGTTTGGAGAGAAAGAGGACTACCGGATGTTCCAAGCTTCTTATGAGAGCATCCAGATCCACCTGAGAAGAGGGTTAGTCCTATGTTTGAATTGACTTGATAGTATGTATGTATGTATGTATGTATGTGTGTGTGTGTGTGTGCACACAATGTTCTATTGAGTGTGTGTTGGTATAATGGTAATGTGGTGGCATGTTGTTTAGTGTTGATCTATGCTCTGTAAAAGTAATGTGTGTGTGATGATGTCGACTGAGAACCTTCTCCCCTGTTGACCTGCAGGAGGGAGTCATGTAACGAGGGAGAAGGGGACCCTCCACTCTACGTAAATGTGAACATGTTCAACGGCCAAATCATGAACACCTGGATCGACTCCCTGCAGGCCTTCTTCCCTGGCCTCCTGGTAGACTCCTCTCTCTCTGGGAATGGGGAGCCGCACAACCCTGCATATGTCCTCAGTCAACATTGTCCCAATAAATGTTGTATGTTCATCCTGACAGTGTTATTACTGTTTGTGATGATGATGTTTTCCCTGTTTTGATCTCTGACCTTGTGTTGTACACCTCAGGTATTGAATGGTGACGTGGAGGAGGCCATTTGCCTGCATGCATTCTACTACGCCATCTGGAAGCGCTTCGGGGCCCTGCCGGAGAGGTACAACTGGCAGCTACAGGCACCTGACGTGCTCTTCTACCCCCTGAGGCCAGAACTGGTGGAGTCCACCTATCTCCTGTACCAGGTACCAGTGCTTAACATTCATTTGAGACCGTATTTGAAACACAATGCTTGTCTGTTTTATGTTATGAGCTGCTTTGAGTGAGCTATTTCATTTCCCCTCACAGGCAACCAAGAATCCTTTCTATTTGCATGTTGGAATGGATATCCTAGAGAGCCTGGAAAAAAATGCCAAAGTCAGGTATGAGTCGGATCTTGGAAAAACACAACTTTAGGGTGTTTTAGGATGTCTGGTTCTACTGATGTTACGCCACACCTGGGTTCCCTAAACTGATGTGTGTATTTGACAGGTGTGGGTATGCCACTCTCCACCACGTGGTGGAGAAGTCCAAAGAGGATCGCATGGAGAGCTTCTTCCTCAGCGAGACCTGCAAATACCTTTACCTGGTATGTACATGTACTGTCTGAAAGTACCTTTACCTGGTATGTTCATGTACTGTCTGAAAATACCTTTACCTGGTATGTACTTGTACTGTCTGAAAATACCTTTACCTGGTATGTTCATGTACTGTCTGAAAATACCTTTACCTGGTATGTACCTGTACTGTCTGAAAATACCTTTACCTGGTATGTACCTGTACTGTCTGAAAATACCTTTACCTGGTATGTACCTGTACTGTCTGAAAATACCTTTACCTGGTATGTACATGTACTGTCTGAAAATACCTTTACCTGGTATGTACCTGTACTGTCTGAAAATACCTTTACCTGGTATGTACCTGTACTGTCTGAAAATACCTTTACCTGGTATGTACCTGTACTGCCTGAAAATACCTTTACCTGGTATGTACATGTACTGTCTGAAAATACCTTTACCTGGTATGTACATGTACTGTACTGCCTGGAAAATACCTTTACCTGGTACAGTGCCTTGCAAAAGTATTCATCCCCTTTGGCGTTTTTCCTATTTTGTTGCATTACAACCTGTAATTTAAATGGATTTTTATTTGGATTTCATGTAATGGACATACACAAAATAGTCCAAATTGGTGAAGTGAAAAAAATTACTTTTTTCAAAAAATTATAAAAAATAAATAACAGAAAAGTGGTGCGTGCATATGTATTCACCCCCTTTGCTATGAAGTCCCTAAATAAGATCTGGTGCAACCAATTACCTTCAGAAGTCACATAATTAGTTAGATTGCACACAGGTGGACTTTATTTAAGTGTCACATGATCTCAGTGTATATACACCTGTTCTGAAAGGCCCCAGATCTGCAACATCACTAAGCAAGCGGCACCATGAAGACCAAGGAGCTCTCCAAACAGGTCAGGGACAAAGTTGTGGAGAAGTACAGATCAGGGTTGGGTTATAAAAACATATCTGAAACTTTGAACATCCCACAGAGCACCATTTTAAATCCGTTATTAAAAAATGGAATGAATATGGCACCACAACAAACCTGCCAAGAGGGGGCCGCCCACCAAAACTCACGGACCAGGCAAGGAGGGCATTAATCAGAGCGGCAACAAAGAGACTAATGATAACCCTGAAGGAGTTGCAAAGCTCCACAGCAGAGATTGGAGTATCTGTCTATAGGACCACTTTAAGCCATACACTCCACAGAGCTGGGCTTTATGGAAGAGTGGCCAGAAAAAAGCCATTGCTTAACACCATCCCCACAGTGAAGCGTGGTGGCAGCATGATGCTGTGGGGATGTTTTTCATCGGCAGGGACTGGGAAACAGGTCAGAATTGAAGGAATGATGGATGGCGCTAAATACAGGGAAATTCTTGAGGGAAACCTGTTTCAGTTTTCCAGAGGACAATGACCCTAAGCATACTGCTAAAGCAACACTCGAGTGGTTTAAGGGGAAACATTTAAATGTCTTAGAATGGCCTAGTCTAAGCCCAGACCTCAATCCAATTGAGAATCTGTGGTATGTCTTAAAGATTGCTGTACACCAGCGGAACCAATCCAACTTGAAGGAGCTGGAGCAGTTTTGCCTTGAAGAATGGGCAAAAAATTGTTATGCATGCTCAAGTTTTCAGTTTTTTTGTTTTATTTCTTCTTTGTTTCACAATAAAAACTATTTTGCATCTTCAAAGTGGTAGGCATGTTGTGTAAATCAAATGATACAAACACCCCAAAAATCAATTTTAATTCCAGGTTGAAGGCAACAAAATAGGAAAAATGCCAAGGGGGGTGAATACTTTCGCAAGCCACTGTACTGCCTGGAAAATACCTGTACTGTATGCCTGCAAATACCTTTACCTGGAATGTACTGTACTGTCTGAAAATACCTTTACCTGGTATGTACCTGTACTGTACTGTACTGTACTGTCTGAAAATACCTTTACCTGGTATGTACCTCTACTGCCTCTTGTCCTGTTGGTCAGAAACCAGAATGGGCTTTTCTGAGCTAATAGAACCTGATTTTCTTCTAGTTAATCCTATGACCCTCTCCTTCCAGCTGTTTGATGACGACAACCCCTTGCACAAATCCGAGAACAAGTACATCTTCACCACGGAGGGCCATGTAGTGCCTATCGACGAGCGTTTTCGGGAGAAGCAGTGTAACGACCTGTCCCCCTGTGAGAAGGTGGTGACAGACCAGGAAACTTCCAATGGGCCTTTCTCTAACACTAGCAATGTAATGACCTCTGATATATAAATACATATTACAACGACACTGCCTGCATTATCAAATAGAGCAGCTTAAAATATACAGTAATGAATTACGTACATTTCTTAATGCTAAATAAGCTAAAATATGTGAAATATGTGGTTAGATTGCTGATAGATGACTTGTGTATTATTCTCTGTACAAATGTTCCACTCTCTGCTTCCTCTCTTCAGTGTGACCGGATCTCTGAGGAGCGGAGGTATTCTCTGCCTCTGAAGAGTGTGTACATGAGACAGATCGATCACATGGTGGGACTGTTTTGAGCTCTCGGAGGAGAGGAGGACACTGGTGTGAACGGGTCTTCAGTCAGTGGACTCACTCAGGCACAGCTTGTTGTGTGAAGAGGAGAGAGGGGAATAGACCCTTACCGTCTCACCTCACCCCCACTCCCAACTGCTCTGCTGCTCAGGACCAAGGTGGACAATACCAACTCTCTAGGACACCTTTTGAAATATCATTAAAAAAAATGGCAGTATTGTTTTATAATATGCATCACTTAGCGTTCAGAGGGAGATGTACATTTTTTAAAGGATACTTCATTTTAATTTTTTGGGAGGTTTGGTGGAAACCTGCTCCACCACATTTTGAGTGTGACTCGTTGGGGTTGGTGCCAGTACGACCGGGATTTTTGGGTTCAGGAATAAATGAGGGATTTAGTGTTCAGGCGTTGGTTTGGGTGTGTAGCTAGGTGTTCTGAACATACAGCTGATCTGTCAACTATTTTTTGGTTGGGGGAACAGTGCCATCCAGATACAGGTTTGTAGTCCACAGCATAATTCAAGTGCATTACACAAAAATAGATCTCACTACACAGGGTGACTAGTGCCTCACTGCTTGGGATTTCCAGAGCCCTCTTTGAATGTCACAGTTCTTATGTTTTCAACTGAGAATTCTTCAGAGGCCTCAGCTTCTGAGTCATCCACCTTTTTTATCTTTTTTCATTCAATAATATTAAGGTTCTGAGGTGAATGTGTGATATGTATCTCTGACTATCATGCAATGGCCTTGTAATAGGCAGATGTATGTATGTTATTTTATGTGCCAATGACAGTGAGATAGATTTACACAATCACATGGAAAATAGTGCCTTAGGCTTTTTGGTTCTTTATTAATACAGACTTGATATAAAAGCCAAGATGGCTGTGATGAAGTGAAATAGGTTATCGCATTCTGAGATCGTTCTGTAAGGTGGAAATCATTCCTCTTCAGTACAGTATTATTGACACAGATCACGGCACGTAGCCAGGTCAGTCTGTCATACCTGTATGTTTGAACAAAGCCATAAAAGTGTAATGTTTTTAAGGTTGATGTGTAAGAGTGTCATGTCTCTATTGAAGAATAATGATTAATTTCTATTCATATTCAAGAAAGGGCTATACCATGTCAGACATTCATGTGGATATATGTTGTGTTGAGTATGCAGATTGTACTGCTTTGTTTGTTCACATTCCTGTTAATTTAGCTGTATATCCAACGTTTTAGTACACCGTACAGTATGTGGAGGCAAATGGTCCTCCCCATAGGCAACCATCCCTTAATGCTGCTAGCAGAATATTTCAAGTAAAGGTATGTGGAGAGGAAACTCAGGGATTGACAAATGTCATGTTTCTTTTCTGGGAGTGAACTCTTGATGGTTTTTGTTAAAGATGGTCTTCTAGACATCTTGTTTTTCCTCCCATTGTCTTGGGACCTTCTCAGTTATTTTGGTTTGAGATAATCTAATCAGGACGTAACCATTTTTCTCTTAGGTCATCTTGAGTTTTAGCTAAAGATGTTCTCCTCTACAATAGTGTTCAGAGAATGTTGTAAGAATGGTTCTCTTCATGTCAGAAATCGCTTAAAAAAATAGTCTGAAATAAATGCAGAAGTACAGAACATGACAATATCGAGGTGAATTTATTTAGTAATTAATTCAGAGGTTAGTTTTCTACAGAAGCTTTAACTTAATTTCTGAGTTAACATTTCATGTTTTATTTCTGTACAGAATGTGGCCCAAAGACCTACAAGGTATTCAAATTAGTTTGTGACCAAGCTACATCCATAAAAATACTGCATCTTTACTACAGTCGCTCATTAGATAAATAGTTATAGATACAAGTTACCCTCACCTTTACAATTCTGTGATGTTTGACATATAAGAATGAACTGGTCTGATTTAATGTCATTGATCCTCCAGTAGCTGGAGGTCTTTCATATTGTGCCCGCTATACGTACAGCTCAATATCTGTTCTACACATACAAAACCCATTCATCAGCAAAAATGGGTTGTAACTTATTGTAACACAAGTTGAAGTGCGTCTGCAGGTGTTGAGGTCATCTCGTTGCCATCTCTTATGGCTTTATATGCCAGTTACTGGAGCATAGAGATGATACATTGCCTTACACCTATTCAAATGTACTGTCTGGGGGAAGAAGAAGCACTTTATGCTGACAAGCGTCAATGTTTCAACTACAGTTTGCATAGCACTGCAATGAAAAGGAGTTCCTATTCCAGACTTTTAACAAAGGTTGATAGACTGACTATGATCAACTTATAACATAAATCTGTACAGTATAGATACTCTTACTTTGACAGTACACCTATTTTAGGTCTCTTCCAGGTCTCAAATGAACTGAATTGTCTTTGGTTATGATGCTGCGTTGGACTGTATGAATTAATATCAGCGTGTGTGTAGTATCATATTTGTGAATGGCAGCTCGCAGAGACGGTTGCTGTGTTGGTCCCCTTCTTCCGGTCTTCTTGAGGAGATTGTTGTCCGCAGTTTGAAAGGGGGAGGGGATAGGAGTTAGGGGGTAAATCAACACCCTGAAACAGAGGAGTGTTTAGTGGAAATGACAGACTGTGTGTGTGCCATTGGGTGAGTGACAGAGAAATGATGTGCTAATTCATAGTGAGTTATCTTCCAGGTAAACTATAGTTAACTATGGAGCTATGTGATTCAATGGGCAGAGTACCATCCCAGAGGCAGACAATCTCTCAGTATCATAGTCTAGGCCAGAAGAGTTCCACTCACCTATATGGCGTGGCTCTTAGAAGAGACCACAACTCTTTAGGTTTTCTTTGATGATGATGTCAGTTACAGCGTCAAACACAAACTTGACGTTCTCTGTGTCTGTGGCACAGGTCATGTGTGAGTAGACCTCCTTGATATCTCGCCGCAAGTTCAGGTCCAGGAACTGGAGTTTGATGTAGTTACCAGCATCTTCATAGGTGTTGGGGCCTACAGGGAATCAAACAACATTTAGGGAAATAATACTTACAATATTGTTAAAAGACTCAACAGAACTGAAATCAAAGCTGTCTTAGGCTATGGATGACAAACACAGTATGCAATAGTTAAGCTCTGACATTGCTCTAACATCAAAAGAACATTGAGAAGAATGTGCACTTTTGTTGCACTTTTGGAGTGTTCCAAAGAGAACAGGCCAGGGTGACAGATCTGCTGTTGTGAGCCCACCGTCGTAGTCGGGGAAGCACATGCTGAGATGAGCCTTCTTGATCTTCTCGGTGAAGACGTCTTTCTTGTTGAGGAAGAGTACGATGGAGGTCGCAATAAAGTAACGGTGGTTACAGATACTGTTGAACAAGTGGAGACTCTCATGCATTCGGTTCTTCATGTGGAGAGAATCATATTAAAAAAGAGGGACAAATGGATTACATGCATAAAAGAATCTAATGAAACACATTTCTCTACAATTCATCTCTCCATGAGCTCACAAAGCTAATTTCACCTCTGTCCATACTACAGTGCCACAGTGACTACCTCAATCTACCGTCTTTGATCGTGATATCTCATCACTTTGTCCAACAGTGACTCCTTCAATCTAGTGTCTATAATGTGATGATAATGTATCTTACCACTTCGTCATCCTCCACCAGCACCATGTCGTAGGCGCTCAGAGCAGCAATGAAGATAATACAGGTCACACCCTCAAAGCAGTGGATCCATTTCTTCCTCTCTGAGCGCTGGCCACCCACGTCAAACATCCTGCAGGAGAGCGAGAGGGAGTGCTTGCAGATGTCATTGTGTTGATCGCCAATGTTATACTATGTTATTACAATGTTATTGTCATCTGAGCTCATTGGATTACTTAAAGAGAGATAGTGTTTTTGTGATTCTGATCAATGGCACACTTTGTTGTATTTTTAGCCTCACCTGAAGTTGAGGTCTTTTAAGCCGAACTGGGACTCTATGATACCAGTGGTCTTTACTCTGGATCGCAACATGTCCTGCTCGGTGGGGATGTATCCAGGCTGGACCAGCCTCTCCAAGTCATTCAGATAGCTAGGTGGGACACAGAGAGATGAACAACCTCCTTCCTTCGTCTGGTTCGTCAACACACTAATATAGGATTAACAATTTCTCTATATAAATGTCTACCAAGAGGTCCAAAGCGCTTAGGGCTAGTTTCCCAGATACAGAGCCTGGCCCTGGACTAAAAAGCATTCTCAATGGAGATTCTCAATTTTAAAGCGCTGTTTAGTCCAGGACTAGGCCTAATATGTGTCTGGGAAACCAGCCCTTTGTTTACTATGTGGATATGATGATGGTGGTTTCATAGGGATGGGGATGGTCCAGTCCAGGAGAGTAAACCTACTATCCAGCAGAGTCGTTAAGCTGGTACTCAGAGGCCCTGTCGTAGCATGCCTGGATACCAGTGTCCTTCCACAGCCGCATGATGATGTCGGCCAGCTCCTTGGGCATGGAGCCCTCCTCAATGGTGTCTGCCAGGTGCATGAGCTTCCTGGAATCGTCCTACAGACACACACAAGCACAAAAGTACACATCCACACATCATGCTTACTATACTCAGTTTGTCCAAGGATTTTATATCATATCCCAAATAATATGATGCCTGGCTTGGGTATGTTGTATAATCCACCTGTCTGAATAGTGTACTGTAGAGAGTCAGTGTACAGTATCTACCTGCTGAGCGGTGTCACCATAGCCAATGTTGAGTTGAGTCATGCCCTTTACAATAGCCATGATGGACTGAACGGTGTTGCTGTAAATGATGGTAACAAACTCCATAGACTCTTCAAGAGAGTAACCATCTTGATGGATAATTCTGTTGCGAGAACACAAGCAGCCACAAATAAAGTTGACATTTGATCTTTGAGACACATATGTTTTATAATATTGCACTTGGTACAATAGTGTTGCCAGACTCACTTCATCTGTTTGACAATTGTGCTCTTTCCTGATTCTCCAGCACCTATACACAAGTGGGGAAAAAAGGTTTAGTGACACGCAGTACAATTATTTAGCTCTCAGGTGCTGTATATACAAATGACGGCCTGTGGTAGGAGACCGTGATGTACTGCATGGTGAGAGGTTTGGGGAGCGTGTAGCTCTGTCTCTATGTAGGAAGCAGGATTCACATTTACAGTACCAAAAATGACCACTGGGCTGCAGTGTTAAACTATTTTAGACCTGGATTCCAGACCTGGAGTGACAGGTCCCAAAGTGTACTCCCTTCTTCCATTTCACTTGACCCCTTAATTTTCCTCTCCTACTATTCCCTCTATTTTCTTTCCTGCCCTGTTATGGTCCTCCCCGTTGAATCGGTGTGTGGCCTGACCCACAGATGATCCACACAAGGGCACCAAGCTCATTACTCCTCTCCTAAACCCCTCCAAATCTGATGCCAGGAAGAACTTTATTGTCACTGAGATACAGTATGACTCACTCTCCTGCTGCGCCCTCTATAGCCATCATGGTTATTATTTGTCCCTGCCGGTCATCTATGAACGTTTGAACGTCTTGAAAAATGATCAGGCCTATATGGCCACACACTTAAATCTCCACTCGGTACAGCCAGAAGAGGAGTGGCCACCCCTCATGGCCTGATTCCTCTCTAGTTTTCTTCCTATGTTCCTGCCTTCTAGGGAGTTTTTCCTAGCCACTGTGCTTCTGCATCTGCATTGCTTGCTCTTTTGGGTTTAAGGCCGGGTCTCTGTAAAGCACGTTATGACAACTGCTTCCATAAAAAGGAATTGATAAAATATATTTGATTGATTGCAGGGCCAGTGAGAAACACACACTACTTTACTTTCTAGTAGAGTTTCTATGAGGTGTGGAGGCCCCTCAGGGACAGTGTCAATGTGATAACTGGGTGCAGAGTGCTATACATGCTGAATGTTCTTATGTCAGCAGCACCACCTGAATCTGCATGTGTTCCACTTGCTCATTACATGGCTACTACACCGCAGGGATTTACAATCCATGTTGTGGTCCTAATCAAGTTTCTGATGACATGAAAGTGCTCCCTCCCACTGCCTCGCTCATCCTTTAGGTCCTTCAATAGAAATCCTCATTATTTCGTTGAACGATTTTTCAAGTTGAGCATCATTATTTCTATATAGTCTACACTTTCTCCTTCTGAACTTCTAACGAGAGTGGGGCTGGTGTGGCTTCGTGTCAATGATCGCAAGAGCAGCTGCTCACCGATTTGACGGCTCCAATGCAGTTCCACCTCCGACACTGCCAAAATATCCACTACGAGGGTGTCTGCTATTGCAGGTTAACGCTTGATCTGATTGAATCTAGGCCTTAGTTCATGAAGAATTGATGCAGGGTGTTAGGTTGAGGGTGGATGTTGGGGTCAGTAGAGCTATAATAGGTTTGCCTTGGGGTAATTAGGCTGTAGGACGTGTGTATGTGTGTGCAGTAGTGTGAGGATAAGCCTACTGTAATGCAACAGTTGTTGTTTTAGGATTACCAGGAGATTGATGTGATTAATTACCAAAGTGTTCAGAACAATAGTGTGACAGCCAGGGGTGGATAAGCTACAGCCTCGGGCCTTTACATAGTGGCTTAGTCTCACCAATGTTGCTGATGCAAAATGTAGTGCCTCTGAATATCATCAGTTTCAGTCAATTCTTTTAGCAAATGTCGACAAGAGGGTGATGTATTTGGCATAGTAATCCCATTGTCTTTGACATTTCCCTTGTTTCATCCCCAATAAAGACAAAATAATGAAAAATAATTAGTGTAATGATCTCTTCAATGAAAATAGTGTTTGCAAGGCTGGTAAAGTCTCAATTATAATCCAACTTGGTTTAAGGCTCAGACCATTCTTAGAACCAACCTGGTCTCAGAGCATTTCTTATTATTCTGTGTGTAAATCCGAGACATTCCATTTCATATGATATGTTACGTTTCATATTGTATTTATTAATTTGTGGATGTCCATCACCCATTTAGTATGATATATTAAGAATTACAATTCATATTATATGTTACGAATTTGGAAAACATACAATATTGTATAAATTTGCAAAACGTATAATATGTTACAAATTTGCTAAACATATGACATGTTACGAATTCTAGCTAGGTGGCTAATGTTAGCTAGCTTGCTAACGTTAGCTAGGCTAGGGGTTAGGGTTAAGGTTAGGGTTAAGTTTAGGAGTTAGGTTAAAGGGTTAGGGTTAGGGGAAGATTTAGCTAAAAGGGTTAAGGTTAGGGCAATGGTTAGCTAAAATGGTTAAGGTTAGGGTTAGGTTTAGGAGTTAGGTTAAAGGGTTAGGGTTAGGGGAAGAGTTAGCTAAAAGGGTGAAGGTTAGGGGAATGTTAGCTAAAAGGGTTAAGGTTAGGGCAATGGTTAGCTAAAAGGGTTAAGGTTAGGGTTAAGTTTAGGAGTTAGGTTAAAGGGTTAGGGGAAGATTTAGCTAAAATGGTTAAGGTTAGGGCAATGGTTAGCTAAAAGGGTTAAGGTTAGGGTTAAGTTTAGGAGTTAGGTTAAAGGGTTAGGGTTAGGGGAAGATTTAGCTAAAAGGGTGAAGGTTAGGGGAATGTTAGCTAAAAGGGTTAAGGTTAGGGTTAAGGTTAGGTGAAGAGTTAGCTAACAGTTGAAAAGTAACTAAAACGTAGTAAGTAGTTGAAAGGTTGCTAAATAGCTAAAGTTGTATGTGATTAGATTGCTAGACGTTCGCATTATACGCCCACCCATCCACCCCGACCAACCAGCTCACTTTTGTTTTTGCCTTAAGTAACCATCTGTCTTATGTAATCATACCAAACGTAGCATATCATTCTCATTTGAGTGTTCCGGATTTACATTTACTATTTTATGTCTAGTCTATGAGACCAGGCTGTTAGAACTGTAAATGGGTGATTAACGATTAATTATATAATACCAAGAGCCAAGATAACATTGTCTCTGTCTACACATCTGCATTATTCAACACCACAGGAGATTACTATGGACATTATCTTCACATCTCTGTCAAAGCTAAACAACAGAGGAAAAAACTCTCTCTACCCCCATCCATAGTATAGTCTACTCCTCAATATAAACATGGGATTATACACTTAGGGTCAAATGGTTGCTTTTCACAAAATGTTCACATTTCTATTACATACGCTATGGAAGCAATAGACTTTTGACCACATAAAATACAAGCCAATCACTGGACAGTCATATAGGGCCTTAGAGTCTATATGTCATTTTGTATGTGGTCTGGAGGATACCAGGTTATGATGAGACACCCCATAGAACACCCTCAACCCAGGCCATTCCCCAGATCAGCGGGCCAGATGACCAGACATGCAGACGTTACCCAGCAGAAGAAGCTTGACTGTCCTGGCGTCCTTCTCTGCATCCTCCTTGAGTTTCTTCTCCAGCTCTTTGGAGTGCTTGTCCTCTGCACTCGCTCCGGCCCCCATCCTCACACCCTGGCTTCTGCCCTGTAGTGCTCAAAACCAAATGATGGGGTAAAAAACGTGAATAAGGTCCTAGCTGATTGCCTAGAGGGCCGACTGGTGTCAACCACGCAGCTGGCTCGTCAACTGCTTCTAAGGAACACCGGAGAGGTGAATGATGGAGTGTTTTCGGGTCTTAGGGAAGATTTTGGGCATCCTCTGTCCACCTGATCAGGGGCGGCCAATGGGGCACAAGGACAGGAGACTCCTGGGGCAGGGGGAAAGGGAGAGGGAGGCCGGGTGTACATGGGCATATGAGTGACCTAACCTTTTTTAGGTTGAGGTTTAGGGGGACTTTGCTGTGCTCAGCGGAAGATGCACATCGGCTCAAGTGCTTATCTGTCTACACTGTCCTCAGCTGCCTTGATAAGAGTGAGGGAGATAAAAAGACATATATTTATCCACTGGCCTATGTTCCAGGAGGAGTAAAAGGCCTTAGTAAGTAGTAAATTAGGTAGAAAGAGGAAACCATGTGTACAGTTGATCAGTGTGGCTCATGAAGCATGTTCAATGATGCATGTTATCTCTTGTTTATGAGAAGCTCACCTATAGCTCCTATCGTTCTACAGAAACACCAGTCTGGTCTATAGCAGGGCAGGGGTAGTTACTGCTGTGGAGTTCACTCTCCTACGCTTAGAGGCTCACATTATTTGAGATGTGCCTTTCATGACAGGGCTGACATCACCTTATAGTAAAAGACTACACGGACTACAACATAAAGTAGTCAGCTCACACGTGTGGAACACATTGAGGATACTGTATCTTCTACATTGAGGGGTGTGATCTCTAAGGTACTTACAGGGCTTTACAGTCTCACCTGACAGATCTCATTGACCTCAATCTGAAGACGGCAACAGATCCTAATCCACACTGTGTCCTCTGAGAGACGGAGGGAGGGAGAGCGAGCGACAGAGAGAGGGAGAGAGAGAAAGAGGGACACTACTCATCCATTCTCACTCAACTCCACCACTCAGTTTTCGTAATTGTAAGAACCACTACTGTCAAAGCACAAACAAATTGGGATCAGTTGACGCACTAAAGGGTTGAGGCCAGTGCACGAGACACAAAACCTGTCTATGTTATCTTACTGTATATAGGTATCCATGCACCACATGAATATAAAAAAGGATCTGTTTATATAAAATATAGAGCTTTAATTTATTAGTCAGCAACATCAATGAGAAAGGAGAAAGGATAGAGTAATTTACACAAGTCATTACAATAACATCAAGTGTGCTTTATGTTATACTAACTGATTTTTCCTCATTAACACATCCCAAAAAATAACCAAAGATGCAAATAATTTGTACCTTTTGGAGAGAGAGATAAAGAGAGAGCAAAGGAGAGAGGGAAAGAGAGCGAGAAAGAGAGAAAAGGAGAGAGGGAGCGAGGAAGAGAGAAAAGGAGAGAGGGAGCGAGAAAGAGAGAAGGAGAGCGAAAGAGACATAGGGGCCTACATTGAATTTACAAAACATTAAGAACACCTGCTCTTTCCATGACATAGACTGACCAGGTAAATCCAGGTGAAAGCTATGATCCCTTATTGATGTCAACTTCAAATCAGTGTAGATGAAGGGGAGGAGACAGGTTAAAGAAGGATTTTTAAGCCTTGATACAATTGACATGGATTGTGAATGTGTGCCATTCAGAGGGTGAATGGGCAAGACAAAAGTACCTTTGAACGGGGTATGGTAGTAGGTGCCAGGCGCACAGGTTTGTGTCAAGAACTGCAACACTGCTGGGTTTTTCCACGCTCAACAGTTTCCTGTGTGTATCACAAATAGTCCACCACCCAAAGGACATCCAGCCAACTTGACACAACTGGGGGACGCATTGGAGTCAACATGGGCCAGCATCCCTGTGGAACGCCTTCTACACCTTGTAGAGTCCATGCCCCGACGAATTGAAGCTGTTCTGAGGGCAAAAGGGGGTGGGGTGCAACTCAATATTAGGAAGGTGTTCTTAATGATTTGTACACTCAGTGTATATCTCCTGTGTTTTGAGTATTCCACCACTATGGCATGAGTCCATCTACCTTTCCTTGCACTGACATTATTCCCACGTTCCCGCAACAAGAGAGACATCCACTGACATTATTCCCACGTTCCCGCAACAAGAGAGACATCCACTGACATCCACAGCAACATACTGTAGCTTTTTGGACTAGTTTCATATACAGTACATAATACATTTCATGCACACAATGAAAAGCCACCGTCCCAAAGAGTTTGGTATGTATTTTCAAGAGCTGATCATTCTAGTGGCTGTAGCTATATACATGGAGTTGCACATGGAGACTTTCTGCTATACACATATGTGGCATGTGACACCTTTCCAGGCAGAATGCCATCCACACCGGCTGATCAGAGAAGTTGCTTAAATTCTTTAGTGAGAGTTATGTAACATTCACCTTCTGTAGGAGCTGGATAACAGCTCAGAGAAACCTACGGCATCCCTCTCCAACCTGTGAAACTAGAACTCTGAAAACAGTCTTTATGCACTTTCGCTTTAGTGACTTCCATGGACTAACCATCGTCTTACATCAGGGGGCGTCACTCCTACGCAATGCTAGTCCCTCAACTGACAATCAGTGCAGGCGGAATTGTTGCGCTAGTTTACTTAAGACAATGTGGACTAACGGTATATTACTAGGAGATCTGTGATATTGAAAACTACATGGGAGGATTGGAGGAGTTGAAAAATGTTAAGTACATTTCATTTGAAACAACTGAACCCATAAGGATAATGGGAATTGGCTGGAATGCAAACCAGTATATTTATGGCTTAGTTTGGAAACTAAGAGAATGGGACCAACTTCAACAATAAGTGAAAGAGTTCTCTGTCTCTTGTCATAATTGTGCATAATCAAATTGGCACAAATGATTTAGCTGCCTGCTTGATAATTTAATCTCAATTGAACAACGGTGTACAAAGAGAAGGCAATGTTATTTAAATCCCATGACAACAAACAAAGTCCCCCCCCAAAACAGCTTATTCTAACCATCACGGCCTCAAGGGTACAACATTGAGTGTTATAGTTACACATATTCTACACAAACAGCCCACATCAACTAGTTCTGGAAGAGACTGGGAATATGAATGTAAATGTAACACATGGGGTTGAATGAAAGCCAGATTGGACCACATGGCCCAAGAAGAGTGGAACACAGGGGATTTGGGGTTAAGTCTTGTTTCACCCTAGTGTCAGTTCAGCGGGCGAAGGAAGAGGAGGATGTTATTTCCCACAAGACCTTTCACTCTAGTGTCTCTCTGTGGCCGTGGGACAAACTTAAAGCTGCAGTCTCCTATGGGCATTTCCTCTGCGTGTCCAATGAAATGCTATGAAGTGCCATCCTTATAGTCCATTGGCTGTGGGAATTAACTGTCCATCATGGCTTTGGGGGAGGTTCTGAGTCATCACTCCATCCGTGATCTGACTCCTCCCACCTCAAAGACTACATACTGCCAGCAGTCAAATGACCCAACATGGAGCCAACATACTAAAACCTTTCTGAAGGCATTCTTATCAGTCCATACGGCTCGAGATATTTACACTTTCAAATGTCCTTTCAATGTTTTGCTGCGCTTCCTCCAAAAGACAGAACATAAAGATCTTTGCAATATAATAACACAATTTGTAATAAACAATGACACTAACAACAATAATAGCATTATAATAACAATAATATTTGCACAGATCTACCTATTCACAAAAAAAGCCTTGTTTTCTATTTAAGTACAAAGAAATCCACAGAATCTTACTATGTACAACCTACAATAAATACTGTGTATCTTTTTTTAACAGTTAAGAATAATCTGTTTGTTGCTTGCTATTGTTGCTTTTTGTAGTGGTTTCTCTTTCTTGTTGCTTTTGATCATTCAGTTTTTGAATCCTTTAAATTGAAGTCTTTCCCATTTTTGGAGGGGTGTGCAGAGAGGGAGAGAGCGGAGGGGACAAGGGGTTGTGTGTTGGGGTGCAGGGGGTAGTGTGTGGCCTGTGGTGTAAGTCCAGGGATTCATGTCTCGGCTGGGTTGGTGTGCTCATCTTCGTCATCCTCATCGTTGTGATGCCGGCGGTTGCGGGGCTTCTTCTGCTCTTTCAGCTCCTTGAGTCCCCTGGCCTTGCTGATGGCCAGTATGGGGTCCCCCGGACTGCCCTCTCCCAGCTGCCAGTAGTCCTGACAGTATTGGTTGATCAGGCCCATCTCCGGCTGGCTCAGGATGGTCAGCAGGTCCTTGTACTGACCCGCGCTGGGGGTCCATGCGCTGGACTGGAGGGGTGGTTGGGCCGGGCTGCCCGTCTCCACCAGGACGTTGTTGACCGTGCGGCTGGACAGGACCACCAGCTGCAGCTTGACCAGCGTGTGTTTGAAGTTCTTCTCTGTGGACGTGCACTGGTAGACGCCGCTGTCTGACAACTGGAGGGAACGCAGCAGGAGACCTTTCTCTGTCTTCACTGTCCGGCCCTCAGAGCGGATCTAAGAGCAGGGAGAGAGTGAGACGCCATTCATTTATCATTGCACTCATTTAGCAACCATTTTTCACCAACAGCAGGCCATATTGTTCAATGACTAATTAGTCATCCCTCTGATTGTCAGCCTATCCTTTAGATGTCAGGCAGTAGAATACCCAATACAGTACATAGCTGCAGTGGGATGAGAGTTCCTGACTCACCTCTTTCCTCCTGTCGCTGTTCTCCCTCTGCAGGTGCCATTTTAGAGACACATGAGGGGACCTGGCCTGACATTCCAGGAACGTAGTGCTGCCCTCCACCCCATACTGCACCATCTCCAGCGTGTTCTTATTGGCTGCAGGAAAGCATCATCACAAACATATTCAAACACGTTTGAGGCATAATTTCTCAATTTCTCTTACTGTAACTGACCACATCAGTCAATTATTCCTCAGCAGAAATGTCAACCACATTCACATTCCATGATTCACATATGACACTATTGGGCACTACTTCTGTCACGGTGAACAATTCAGCACTTTTTGAGTGTCTATTTGGGGTACATTAGAGTGTTCTTGTCAGCTCACCGTTAGAGTTATAGCCTCTGCACTGGTGGATTGGGTTACCATACTTTACATCCTGTCGACGGCTGCGCCTAAAGGGGTCAGATCAACATTCCCAAATAAAAAGAGGTTAACTACACCACGTTCTACAAACTGAAAATGAGCAGTAAATAAAAAAGGGTTGTCATTCCCACAGATTTGCAACACAAACACAAAGACACACACACACTCTCTTGGTACTCACCTCTTTTGCGAGGCAGAGTAACGGGTACAGGACTTGCCGTCCCAGGCGCAGTAAGGGTCCCGGGCCAGGCAGCAGTCAGCACACACCTGCCCGTACACGTCACAGCGATGGAGGGCAAGGTGGGTCACACCCAACACTGAACCCACGTACAGCTGTTGCTGTAGGGAGAAAGAGATGGAGACAGAATGAGAGAGGAATAGAGACTGTTGGCATCATCCAGACTTTGGCATTCACTTTTTACACTCTGCATTGATTTATGTGATATTTTATGGGAAGACACAATTCTGAAATTGTGTGCACTGAACCATCAGACTGTGGACATGTTCAGCTTACCCTTTTGGATGAAATCTTCATGGTGGTTATGGGAGTTGGCACCTGAAACGTAAGGGATAGCAGCAGATCTTTATAAGAGAAGAATGGAAGTTGGAAAGATGTTCTGCACAATAAATGTTTCTCACCCGAGGAATACACCAGGGACTACAGATGAAAATAGCTAAATCTGGTGCAATGGCATGTCAAATATACAAATAAATAGACAAAAATAGAAAGATACTACTGAGAGAAAAGGAGAGGGAGAGAGAAATAAAGAGAATGAGAAAGACAACAGAGAAGAAAGAAAGAGACTAACCCTGAACACCTCCACCTCCTCCAGAACCAGCTCCTCAGTCTGCAGGTCAGCTCTGGGCAGGACAATCACCTTCTGAACCGTCCCCCTGTCTGCAGACCCAGAGGCAGGGATGGGCAAAATACAGATACAAAATACCATAAAGATCAATGTTTCAACATAAACAACAAAATACTTGTATTTTGTAATGTATTTGCAAGTTGCTGGCCCGAGCAACAACATTCTCAGTAACGGTTACAAAACAGTTTTACTTGCTATAACTGTGATATGTTGTTGTTTATCTACCTTAGTTGAGCAACTTACCCTGGATAAGAGTGTCTGCTAAATCAGGGTCTGCTAAACTCGGTTCTGCCCCCCCGGGTGCATGTTTTGGTTTTTGCCCTAGCACTACACAGCTAATTCAAATAATCTAAGCTGGGGGGCCTTGAACTGAGTTTGGGAAACCCTTTGCTAAATGACCAAAAAGTAAATGTATATGTGAAAATTAACATACCAAAATTAACTGCAAAGAACACTGGGTATTATTATTGGCCTTGTTTCAGGGCGGAACTCATTAGAATAATACTCAGCATGCTTTTGAATTGTTCATTTTTACATATACATTTATATTTAGTTAATTTAGCAGACGCTCTTATCACACCATAGTCCTATCATATTTCTAATACCAATGCAGGGTGAAAGGGAGGCCACCAAAATGTAAACCCCTATAAAAATGGTGTATAAAAGTATTTTATATTTTGAAAATACAAATTCCAGTATTTTGAAAATACCAAATACCAAAATACACTGGAGTGTAGTTCAGCCCAATGTAATTCAAATGACAAAGTAATTAAAATACATATTTCAAATACATGTAACAGAAATACTGCCCATCTCTGCCAAGAGGAGTGATCAGGTTAACCTCTAATCTAGTCCTCTCTGGCCTGCTCCCTCCCTCACACATCCTCCACTCATATTCACATCCCTCCAAAACATTTGTCCATATAAGGTCAAATGCCCTGAGGAAAATAGGAGGACAGGAGGATCCCCCCTCGTCTTTTACAGTGTTCTACTACAGGAGCCATTCATCACCAGGCTGAGCACTTTAAAGTCAGCAGCCCCAGCAGCCCTAGCCCTTTTTAAATCTCTGAATCTATCACAGATGTGAAAACACACATACAATAACAAGTCTATCAAATCAACCAACAGGCGGGCACTCAGAGCACTGACCTGTCCCCAGGAATAGGACCTCGTAGCTCCCATCGGCAGCGGCCACCTGGTCCACAGTGATGGTGGTGAACTCATAGTCCACATTGTTCCGGACCACCAGGGGGCGCTTGTGTATTGGGTACACAGCGTTGTACATGGTGGGGTGGTTCCGCATGAAGTTAATCACCTCGTCTGGGTAATCCTTAGTGGACTTCATGTTGGGGGTGAACGTACCTCCGGGACACTGGGTTTAGAAAGAGGGTAGAACCAGCCATGTTTAATGTATTAATTAACAAATATATATATATACAAAATAAATAAATATATGTGTGTGTGTGTGTGTGTGTGTGTGTGTGTGTGTGTGTGTGTGTGTGTGTGCGTCACCCTCTGCATGTCACTCACCGTCCCAGGCCGAGGATAGGGGATCTTCCCAGTGTAGGCCACCCACTGGTAGTTGGGCCCCTCCTTGTGAGCATAGGGTCCATTGAAGACCTGACGGATGTCAGCCATGGAGTAGACACACACTGCTGAGCCCTTGAACACTGACCTGGTGGGTAAAGGGACAAGGAGGGTCAGAAACACTAAAGGGGACAGCTTTAGGAGACATGGGATTACTACTCACTCTGCGAGCAATTAGCTACATTCTCCCGCTCATAGAATCAACTCACATCACAACTCATAGACATGAAGCAGGCGTACTCCAACATTAAGAAGCCGCACAAACACTCTCCACCACAGACAAGCTGTCTGACACACTGACATACAAACACCCACACATAGCCAAGCTAATCATCAGAGGGAGCCCAACATCTCTGCCATGCTGTGCTGTAGTGGGTGAACAGTACAGTATTATATGAGTATCTTCTGTTGAGGTGCCTATCATTAGCACTACAGTAGTTCTTATCAACTGGGCTTTAAGGGGGGTGGTGATTGTAGCGAGTTAGTATGGAGGCCTTGGGTGAGACAGGGAAACATATACAGTACAGTATCTCACAGACGCCAACACACACACACACATACAGCCGTGTGTATTATGACTGGGCGTGAGTGTGAGAGTGAACTCTCCATGTGTGCATCCTCCACTCAAACTCTCCCGCTGCATATGCTGGGGCAGGAGCCGCGAGCCATTTCTTTGACTCTTAATGTTGTGCTGCTGACTGATGACTTGTTATCAAAGCCCAGCCATGTGGGAACACAGGTCAAGTCTCTCACTGGAGACCCCTTCCTCTCCGTGCTATAGACTGACTTCCTCCTCTGCCTTTGTAGTGTGCAGAGCAGACTGTGTGGAATAGGTTTTTTCAATAACAGAGCGTGTTACAGAGGTACCTTTGGGCACAATGAATATGGATGGGAGACGGGAAACCACGGGAGGAAACTAAATATCAGCACTGACTACATCTATTCTACAGGTCTGCTGAGGAGATCTGATTGAGTGAAAGCTGAAAAAGGATGTACAGTACTGTCCTTTAATGAGACAGATACTTGTGGAAATACTGTGATTGAATTAAGGGGAGACACAGAGGAACACAGTCAGTGACTCACCCTGAAACTGAGAACACGCCATAGATGACAGGATTCTTGATGTCCTGAGTTGGCTGGATGAACACGTCTCCTGTTAGACAAAGCGAGAATTACACATTACCAAAAGTGGTACTGCAAAATGTCTTACACAATCAGAGAATTACACATTACCAAAAGTGGTACTGCAAAATGTCTTACACAATCACTATACAATAACAGTATGGACTATGCTAAAACAGGGTAATCGGAGATAAACATTGAAGGATGGAGTCTATTTTCTCTCTCTCTTAGCTAACCGGAGCCGCTATTATTCCACCTGGGATTCCTGAGCAGCCAGAGCTAATTCAAAGCGTGACATATGGACAGCTTCTACTTGCTGGATTGACACGGGACAGGAGGCGGGTACAAGGGAAGCCCTTTTGGATTGGGCAGCACAGCAGTGGTTAGTTTAGTTAGCAGGGTTTCCGGCCACAGTGGGGTCCTGAATCAGAACACTTCCAGAGCAGACCCCAATTCCTGGGTCTCAGAAGGGGAAGGTATGAAATGGAGATCTGTGGGGTAACAAGGCTTTAATGGAAGCCATATGCTTCCCATGATCCTTGGAGCTATGGTAATTGGACCCTGTATCCTCCAATGAGTGAGAAGTGAAAGGAAAAACAATTAAGGGGAAGATTTCAATCCATTTAGAGTCGACTACCTCAGCTGAGAAGTGTAACACTCCAGCCACTTGTTGGAAACACAATTCCAGGGTAAATGTTTTCCATCAAGAGGAAAAGAGTGAGTGGAGGAGGGGGGCATCGGCTGACTCTTTCAAGGACAGGGAGAGTAGATAGGACAAGTGTTAACCCACAGCCACAAGTCATTGGAAATGCCAATCACTAAGAATATCTAATGATTAGATGAAGCATGAAACATTATACCCTCCATTTATAACTCTGGACCTCTGTCGTGGGCATTTATGAAGCCAAACATTACTAAGATATTGAGCCTCGTTGATATCAAGCAGCTCCACACTCTGAACCTTTCAAATAAATCTCTCGGCAAAGATCAAGTTGAAATGGAAAATACTCAAAGAACAAAACAGCAGCTCTCTCCAAGCACACACTCTTCAAACACTTTTGGATTAAAGTTTAAGAACAAAACGTTCCTTGGAGTTTCTACCCAAGACCTTATCAAGCCTTAAGAGTGTCTCCCAAAGAATACACTTTATGAGCTTTAAACCACCAAGAGAGATTGTTGGCCTCTTATAAAGCTGTAGCTACGACTGAGTTTCATTAACATTCAGGAGTATGTAATCATCATGAAAAAAAGAATCCCTTTTTATTGCCAAGGTAGGAGAATGACAGCTAAGGGCCGTAAACAAGAACGGGAATTAACTTTTGACAAACGGGAGAGAAATTCCTAACACATCTGACGCCAGTTTGACAACCCTCCTGGCTACAGACAGAGGGAGGGGTGAGAGAACTTCAAGAACATTTGGAACAAGTTTGCGCCATTGACTTTTATGCTGGATCTTTTTTGATGTGTCATAGCAGACAAAGACTCCTTGAGGCTCATTGAGTATCTAAAGTCAGCACAGTGTGCCTGCAGAAATACCATATCTATGAGAGAAACGGCATTTGCAATGTGTATGTACGGTGTTATTAAAGATAACCAATAAACATACTGCACCTTTAATTTTCCCTCTGTATGCCCAAAATACAATTCCCATTCATATCAGGAGGAAATCTAGTGCAGTATAATATACAGGTAACTGCCAAAATAAAGGAAACACAAGTGTTTTAATAGGGCGTTGGACCGCCAGAACAGCTTCAATATGCCTTGGCATAGATTCTACAAGTGTCTGGAACTCTATTGGAGGGATGCGACACCATTCTTCAAAGAGAAATTCCATCAATTGGTGTTTTGTTGATGGTGGTGGAAAACTCTGTCTCAGGCGCCACTCAAGAATCTCCCATAAGTGTTCACACACACACACACACACACACACACAGTCTGTCTGTCTGTCTGATGGTACTGTATATGGTCTCTACCCTAGGGACCTGTCTGACCGCACAGCGTTACAAAAGCAAACACAAATAAAAACCACATGGCTCCCTTGGTGACACAGAAAAAGATGTAGTCAAAATGTCCACACATTGCTCAAGAATGATGACTATGAGAAAAGTAACGGCAGATGATAAAAAACTTTGACTGGCGAGGGAAGGAAAAGAGGTGGCTTCTGAGGTTTGGTGCTTGTAATATTATAAGGAACTATGAAATGAACCAGAAACCAAATGTTCCTTTCCCCCGTCACACTTTTGAAAAGGCAATAAAAATCCAAATACCCACACATCCATTTTCATGTTCACTGACAGAGATACGTTATTCTGTCTGGAATCCTGCCAACTCTCTTTCTTCCTCTCTCCCTCTCTACCCCCCTCCCCCAGTCCCTCTTTCTTTTCAGACTCTACTGTACATAGCTCCGATGCTGGCCTGGGAAGACAAGAAGACTTCCTCAACATCTGACTTTACTCCCATCTCTGCCCTGACCCCTCACCACCCCCTCTCAGCCCCCCTCTCACCACCCCCTCAGCCCCCTCTCACCACCCCCTCTCAACCACCCTCTCAGCCCCCCCTCTCACCACCCCTCTCACCACCCCTCTCAGCCCCCCCTCTCACCACCCCTCTCACCACCCCTCTCAGCCCCACTCTCAACCCCTCCCTGCTATAGGCTGCCTGATGGTAGTGGTTGTGGGAAACCAGACAGACGTGTGGTGGGTAACTTTACGTTCAGGGGTGACAAGCCTAGTATGACCCTCACTGAGAGTGACCTGGACTGCTATTGACCTGCAGAGGGGACATTTACATTGACAAAGAAATGAGTAAGAATTGCTCAATATAAGTGTGTGGTTTGAGTAGACATGTGGTTTCAAAACTGGTCATTCACAGCCCTCAGGCTAAGGCTGAAATGAGCTTCCCTGGGCTATAGGCCTAGTATAAAACAAACAGAATCTAGTCATGATTGATGGCAGCAGTAAAAACAAATGACCTGCAATAAAACAAAATCACATCAGTTATTGTGATTGCGTTTGACTGCTAATGAAACATGTCCTACTAATAACTAATTTCAAGGAGAGCGCTCAAGCCTCCTCAGAGTCAGACCTCCACAGCACGGTGCATCACACTGATGTTTTCCTGAGACAGTGAGCCATCAGTCATGTGAGAGGAGAGATGTGATTGACAGGCAGGGATGATCCCTGTAACCCTGCAGGGCGCCCCCCTGGCTGATCCAGAGACAGACCCTAAAGCCCTGCGCCTCATTACCAGTCCTCCCCAGACACCCACACACACACATCTACCCTCAGCACTTCCACTGCTGTCTTATTGAGCCATCCTGAACCCAGACATGCTTATCATACAGGAGTGATGCTGATGTCTAAAGCAAAACAGGCTGTAAGCTGGGTGGGATATCTTCATCACTGCAGTACCTTCTTCAGAATTCCCCTTTCCTTTGATTTTCAAGGGCAGAGAAGAACAGTACAATACTTTTACAGACCCATTGGTACAACATAGGAGAAGTCATAAACTCTTTGTCGATTTCCTTTTTGCCCTAAACCAAACTATACCAGAGAGCAGAGCTGAAGACATGGTATATATTAAAACAAAATGGAAGAGTTACTGTCTGCGAGAAATCCCTGTTTGGCTATGGTAAAGGTGGTGCATATGGAATCTGTCAGCAGTAACCCTACATACAGATTCTTGTTTTTGACTAGCCCGTTCATGGAGTCACATAGGAGCTTTCACTCTCCAGCTAGTCTCTCATGTAAGACCTGCTCCCTTGGTCACAATGATGAAATATCGGACAGCAGAACCCCAGACACCACAATGTTACAGAACTCTAGAATCTAGATACATGATTCCTGTTTGTCTGATGTTTGTCCAACCAGAACAGTCACTTTAACGAAGCACAAACGAAACAGGAGTGCAATCTGGAACGGTTGAAAATAACTCAGATGTTACAGAGATATTACAGAAAGACTACAGAGAGTGGGGTCTGAATGGATGGTTGGTCATTTTACATGCTGTGGCTTTTAGATGGGGCTGACTATTTTTAGTGTCTACCAGATGAGGGAACAGAGGAGTATTGGGAAGTTAGTGCAAGAGCTCAGACACAGCAATAGTGTTTGCTGGCCCGAGAGTACTTAGCACCTCTGAACAGAGTGCCGGTTGTAATTTGCTAACCAAGTGCGCACTGATTTTACATGTAGAATTGCGTGAAAATGTCAGCAGTCAGCAGGTGGTCCCTAAAACACAGCCTGTTGAATGATCGGCAGATGAACGCTAGATCCACATTCGGTGCAAGCCTTAAGAACATAAGTTAACAACTGGGCTATACCACTGTTGGAAAATTCTGCCTACTTACGGAGCTCATCAAAGTGGGTCTCTATGCCGTCCACTCCAGGTACAGAGCAGATGAGTCTGGCCTTCAGGAAAGTGCTCCACTTGTTGACCAGACAGCAGTGTCCACCATCATCATTCTGCAGGGGGGGACAAAAGGCAGTGTCACTCACACCTGACCCCTACACAAACACCACAAGTGGACCGGTCCAAATATCCAAACCAACAGCTGTTTTAGACACCTAGCAGCCAACACTAGCTTAGAGAGAAGATGAGAGTAAAACCATCAGCTATGTGTCAGTCTGTCTGCCCCATCTGATGTGGACAGATGCACGCCAACCCCTACAGAGAATAGAGGGAGTGAGGTGAAGCGCGGTGACAATTATTCACAATCCAGAACTCCTTGCCCATTACAAAACTTCTGCTAGACTTGTTGAACAGAGAAAATAGGAGTTTGAGAGACAAATGCAACATGGAATGTTCAAGTGGAAAAATCATAGAATGGTATTTGTGCCACAATTTACATTGGAGTAATATAACGAACATCATCCAAATCCAAAGTTATATTCCATTGTTTTGTAGCTCTTACACTAAAATTAGATGTAGTTAAAATGGTATCAACATGTGTGCTTTTTCTACCATGTACTTGTATGTGTATCTATGCCAGTAGTACTATTTCCAGTGGGAGTCATCGAAGGACAGTGGCTTTGGATCCAGACACAGGCAGGACCAGCGTCCCTAGGGTCCAATACGAGGCATGCAGCGAGAGGGGGAAGGCTTGCACACAGCCCAGGGTCCCCCTCTAAGGATAAACAACATTCTGAGTCATGGCAGCCACTGGGACATACATACATCATTAGAACAACATTACCCTGAGTGTGTATGTGTATGTTTGCTTATGTGTAAATACTGGAGGCCAAAGGCAAACTCTCCCACTCCAAAAGTTTATCACAGGGGACAACAGCATTCCCTTTAGTTTGTGTTTCTTAGACTGCTCACTGGCTGTTGAGGAAGTGGGGGGCAGGGCTGTGTTGTTTTATGTCTGACTGTGTTGAATGGTGAGATACATTGATGGTTTATGCTGAGTTTCCAAGGAGACCCCCCTCTCTTCTGGGGATGTCTCAGTATCATTAGTGGCAGGGTACTTGAGTTCGCTGGGTCAAAGTTCACAATATGAGGCAAGGGTCAAAATATGACCTCTTTCACATTCTTATTGACTGCATTTTTGCAGATAATGAGTTACAGTATGTGGTTATGATGGCCAATTACCAGACAGATCCTGCCTATCCTGGACTGGGCCATGGGACTCTGGCCCATCTCTGAAGCCTTCTCCCGGAAGAAGAAGTAGAGCTTGTCATCGTTCTTCTCAGCACTGTCTGGGATGAGGTGCGCCTTGATGAATGTGGGATCTGAAAGACAGAGATAGTGAGAGAGAGAGAGAGAGAGAGAGAGAGAGAGAGAGAGAGAGAGAGAGAGAGAGAGAGAGAGAGAGAGAGAGAGAGAGAGAGAGAGAGAGAGAGAGAGAGAGAGAGAGAGATGTTGATAATGAGACAGATGCTAGTGAGAGTCAGTTGAGGCCTACATTTGAGCTCATGTCACTACTGTACATTCCAAATATCCCTCATTATTCTCACTCAATGAGCACAATATGGCGTAGCCCTCTCTTCTCATGCTGGCTCACTGATTGGGGCACTGCTGGACACATTAAATCAACCCGGACCTCCCTGCTGCTACAGAGACACTACCCAAATGGGGGCAGACCCTGTGGGGGGTAGAGAGCATTAAGCCACATTGGGAGAGCAGGATGTCCTAGTGTAGCCCTGGGGCTGATGAACAGGACTCAGGTGGGGATGGGGGATGCCTACTGATGGGAGAAGGTTGGGGGGCAACCGGGTCACTGTGGAGAGCTGCCTGGGACCCAGCCCTACTCTGAAATAATCAATGGTGGCAACACTGACCTCCCAAACCCACCCAGCCAGCAGAACTTACGTGTACAATCTCGTGACTTTAGACTATGGAGAATAAGAGACCAGGGTCCAACAAAGGGCAGCCCATACATTGTGAAATGCTAGCATTAGAACACACCATAGAAGACTTGGCTACAGCACATACAGTATGTCCCGAGGCTAATGCATGACAGTGAGAAGAAACGTTTCCTTAACATTTCCTAGAAAGGCACTCGGTGAGTTGAGTACAGGCATTACTGTATTGATGTGATAGGCATTGTTTACTTTCTAATGGCTGGAACAGCTAGAGGCTTGGACCAGAGCCATATATACAGTATGACATGTGAAGATGCAGTAAGACAGCACAGGCATGTAGAGACTGAGGAATAAATTGATACACGATGGAAATATAAAGACAAGTGCCATAGAGAGCTGATGTTTGTAAGGATGAGGCGTTAGACATTACCATTTAACCATATGGAGTTGTATTGGTCCGTCCTCATGGCTGTCTGTTTCCCCAGAGTACGGAAGATGGACGCGTCTGTCCCCATGAAGTCAATGTAGACCCCTGCGTAGAGCTCCCCATCTGTCAATCACAGAGGAAGAGAGAGAGAGAGAGAGAGAGAGAGAGAGAGAGAGAGAGAGAGAGAGAGAGAGAGAGAGAGAGAGAGAGAGAGATAGAGAGAGAGAGAGTGGATTGATCAGCTCTAGCGCGAGGAGCGTCTCTCTGCTCGGATAATCTCTCCCGCTATCTATCGAGATTAGCGATGATCTTTGCGCTCTAGAGAGATAGATAGAAGAGAAATCAATGGAAGATCATAGAAAGACAATAACAAAGAGGTTGACAGGAAGGAAACCATGGGTGATTAGTGACTACAGTCCTTTGTTATGGAGATATACTGTATCCCCCCGTTCCAAGTAACCAACAGTAGGCCCCAGCTGGTGGCCAGGATCAGACTGGACAGAGAAGAGGGTGATCCCAGGGCAGACACTGGGGACCTGGGGCAGGATGTGAGGATGTGGTCATTGGGCCTAGTCATGCTAACAGTGTGGGGTGGAGGCCTGGGAAATGGCCATCCCCAATTGCTTGTGGCTGAGTGTGTGTGAGCAGGTGCTGCCCCAGTATAGGACCTGTTTAGAGAGTTGACAGATCTCCCTAAAGACAAGACAGCCTTTTCCTTCTACAATCACATCAGATTGAACCCCTTCACCATGGGGTGGGTTGGCAAGGTGTCCAAACACCACAGAAACACTGGGATCAAGAGAGGTACATAGAAATCCCCCCTATAACAGAGGAAGTCCTTGTTTTTGTGTTGTACAGTATGACTCTGGCCGTATTGTAGGTCGGTTATGTAGCAGCTGAGTTGCTACAGTAAGTGGATGCTTTGTAGTTTCACCCAGGTCAGCTCTAGGTGTGACTGACTAGTGGTGTAAATTACTTAAGTAAAAACACTTTAAAGTACTACTTAAGTGGGTTTTTTGGGTATCTGTACTTTACTTTACTATTTATATTTTTAATAACTGTTACTTTTACTTCACTACATTCCAAAATAAAATATTGTACTTTTTACTCCATACATTTTCCCTGACACCCAAAAGTGCTCGTTACATTTTAGCAGGATAGGATTCCGCACTTACAGTATCAAGAGAACATCCCTGGTCATCCCTACTGCCTCTGATTTGGTAGACTCACTAAACACAAATGCTTCGTTTGTAAATCATGTCTGAGTATTTGAGTATGCCCCTGGCTAGCCATAAATAAAATCAAAACTAGAAGATTGTGCTTTTACTCAAGTATGACAAATGGGTACTTTTTCCACCACTGGGGCTGACATAAGAAGTCACAGAGGGGGGTAATGGGTAGTGTCAAACAACCCTGGGTGGCTGGGAGGTCAGTGGAGTCAAGCCAGAGAGGAAGAGGTCAACTGCCAAGTCTGACCACCTGCCTTTAAGCTGCTGACAACACCAGACCACCTACTGATATGAGAACTTACATACCAATTCCTGCTTTTCCCATTAAGAATTTTCAATACAGCAAATAACTTTTCAGTATACTCTTTTTGATTATGAGAATAATGTGACAATGGGACAGTTAACGTCACCACAGGGTGGCTACAAATGAAGAGGAAACAGTTTTAAAAGAGGCAGAAGTATTTGAATTAACCAGATCTAGAGTGTGACTAGCCAATGGTGCAGTATTAGCTTCCACAAGGGTTGGACTGACCACAAACACTCCTTGGGGAAGATAGGAATAAAGCTTGACGGGAAACAACCCTTTTGTTTCCATAGAGAGACACTCAATTATTTCAATAATGGAAGAAGTGACCTGAGAGAAAGGAGGTAAACGGGTACTTACTGATCAAAGCTGAGACGCTGTTGAGTTTAGGGTCGTAAGGACATTTGCCTTTCCCCGAATCCACTTTGCCTGGCTCCAAACGGAAGATATATTCCTGTAATAGGACAGTGCAGAAACAATTAAATATGTAAACTAACATCAATTATTCTGTTGTTTCCATTGAGGACACAGAGCAGAGTGGATTCCGGCCTTATAGTATTTATGTATTACAAGTTTTCACATACTGTAGTCCTGTAGAGGGAGATAATGACAGAGGGAGGAGGATACATAGGGAGATCAGTTGGGGCAACACCATGAGGTGATGGGCAGTCTAGAGGTTGGTACTTGGTACACAAATGGTTTCTGAGCACGTCTCTCAAATCCTATGTTAGTGTACTGAACCAGACATTCTCTCTGCTTCTGCACGACAATCGGTACCGGAGCAACAAGTCTGACACCAACAGGCTCCTGAAGAGCTTCTATCCCCAAGCAATAAGACACAGACTATCTGCATTGACCCTTTTATTTCCTTTATATTTTTGCACTGAATCTATGCACACTCACACTCACTCACACTCACTCACACACACTCACACTCACACACACTCACACACACTCACACACACTCACTCACTCACACACACTCACTCACTCACATTCACTCACACACACTCACACTCACTCACACACACTCACACTGACACTCCAACACACACTTCATTGGCTGACACACATAACACCCACACACATTCATACTGACTCCACACACACACACACACACACACACACACACACACACACACACACAATCAGCATATACTGTATGCTGCTGCTACTCTGTTTATCATATATCCTGATGCCTAGTCACCTTACCCCTATACATACAGTGGGGGAAAAAAGTATTTAGTCAGCCACCAATTGTGCAAGTTCTCCCACTTAAAAAGATGAGAGAGGCCTATAATTTTCATCATAGGTACACGTCAACTATGACAGACAAATTGAGAAAAAGATATCCAGAAAATCACATTGTAGGATTTTTAATGAATTTATTTGCAAATTATGGCGGAAAATAAGTATTTGGTCACCTAAAAACAAGCAAGATTTCTGGCTCTCACAGACCTGTAACTTCTTCTTTACGAGGCTCCTCTGTCCTCCGCTCGTTACCTGTATTAATGGCACCTGTTTGAACTTGTTATCAGTATAAAAGACACCTGTCCACAACCTCAAACAGTCACACTCCAAACTCCACTATGGCCAAGACCAAAGAGCTGTCAAAGGACACCAGAAACAAAATTGTAGACCTGCACCAGGCTAGGAAGACTGAATCTGCAATAGGTAAGCAGCTTGGTTTGAAGAAATCAACTGTGGGAGCAATTATTAGGAAATGGAAGACATACAAGACCACTGATAATCTCCCTCGATCTGGGGCTCCACGCAAGATCTCACCCCGTGGGGTCAAAATGATCACAAGAACGGTGAGCAAAAAATCCCAGAACCACACGGGGGGACCTAGTGAATGACCTGCAGAGAGCTGGGACCAAAGTAACAAAGCCTACCATCAGTAACACACTACGCCGCCAGGGACTCAAATCCAGCAGTGCCAGACGTGTCCCCCTGCTTAAGCCAGTACATGTCCAGGCCCGTCTGAAGTTTGCTAGAGTGCATTTGGATGATCCAGAAGAGGATTGGGAGAATGTCATATGGTCAGATGAAACCAAAATATAACTTTTTGGTAAAAACTCAACTCGTCGTGTTTGGAGGACAAAGAATGCTGAGTTACATCCAAAGAACACCATACCTACTGTGAAGCATGGGGGTGGAAACATCATGCTTTGGGGCTGTTTTTCTGCAAAGGGACCAGGACGACTGATCCGTGTAAAGGAAAGAATGAATGGGGCCATGTATCGTGAGATTTTGAGTGAAAGCCTCCTTCCATCAGCAAGGGCATTGAAGATGAAACGTGGCTGGGTCTTTCAGCATGACAATGATCCCAAACACACCGCCCGGGCAACGAATGAGTGGCTTCGTAAGAAGCATTTCAAGGTCCTGGAGTGGCCTAGCCAGTCTCCAGATCTCAACCCCATAGAAAATCTTTGGAGGGAGATGAAAGTCTGTGTTGCCCAGCGACAGCCCCAAAACATCACTGCTCTAGAGGAGATCTGCATGGAGGAATGGGCCAAAATACCAGCAACAGTGTGTGAAAACCTTGTGAAGACTTACAGAAAACATTTGACCTGTGTCATTGCCAACAAAGGGTATATAACAAAGTATTGAGAAACTTTTGTTATTGACCAAATACTTATTTTCCGCCATAATTTGCAAATAAATTCATTAAAAATCCTACAATGTGATTTTCTGGATATCTTTTTCTCAATTTGTCTGTCATAGTTGACGTGTACCTATGATGAAAATTATAGGCCTCTCTCATCTTTTTAAGTGGGAGAACTTGCACAATTGGTGGCTGACTAAATACTTTTTTCCCCCACTGTATCTACCCCTACCACTCCAGTATTGTCAATATGGTATTGGCACTAACCCTGGAACTGACCCTGCATATAGATTACTTACTTTCTCGTGTTCTTCTTATTTTTTTTGTTCTACTTTACTTTATTTTATAGTACTACTGATAGTGATTACTGCATTGTTGGGAAAGAGCTTGCAAGAAAGGCATTTCACTGTACTTGTGACAATAAAAACGTGAATCTATGCAAAACACACACTCACACACCTGTATTAGGTCTGAGCAAGAGAGTATGACGCGTACAAGGCCACTTATCAGCATGATGGAGTGCTTGAGCTAAAATGCAGAGAGCGATCCAAAATTCATCCACCATGCTCCTAGTGTTAGTGATGTGGAGGATAGCTCAGGTCCACGAGCCAGGAGGACATTTTTAGCATCTGTCTCAACATTTTGTCAAGTAGCTTACTGTACTACTGAGGGTTGGTAGGAATATTAATGTTGGATTAGTTAAACTTTTGTGATAGAGTATGTGATTTAGGCACAGTAATGGAACATCTAAACAGATTGCCTTTCTAAGAAACATAAAACATATTGTATTCTGCTTGTGCCTAAGAAAAAACTATCCTTTCACTTAGTTGACAATTAATTATTACATGCCAAAAAATTATTATTATACACGTCAGGAATACATATTTGACTAAAAGGCGAGTTGGACAAACTTCCCCCTGCCAAAAAAAAGAAAGTTTGGCAGACTGTTTCAATCTGAAGCTAGGCTGCTATAGTTGGACTGCGTTCTTATATCCTGGTGTCTATGGCTCCACTCATTGAAGCTAGGCACCATCCCAGAATGGCTCCCAAGACACATGAAGGCAGTACATTTACAAAGCATTCGTTTGTTATCCAAGCTACTGGGGTCTCTACATTTGTAAGGAATGCATTTATTGCAAACTTATTTTATAGCGAGGGGGGGGGGGGGGGGGGGGGCGTTGTAGTTCAGAAGTAGTGTATTTTTTATGACTTTTTGTGGTACTCATTGGAATGGATCTTGCCATTGTCCTCCACCACACATGTTTTTCTTGCATGACTTTGAATTATTTGGCTGATATTAATATGTAGCCTAATTTTCAACATTCTAGTAGCCAAGAAGAATTATAGACCAAGTACAGTGAAATCCCTTTTTTAAAGTAGGCCTTTGAGGTCACAAAAATCAAGCCATATTGGATGCTAGTGATTGTAAAGGACAGGACTCTGTTTTACTAACAAACTTAACTTATGAATAAAACCATTCTATTATTTAACTGTGACCATAAACACATTAATCAAAATCTCTATCTCTAACACCTCATTTCCTCCACACCCTAGTCAGCTGCGTCCATTTTAAATCTCAGCAGGAGGTACATGATAAGACAGGGCCTCTCAGACCCCAGATGGGCACCTGACCCAGGACCAGGTCCCAGACCCAAGCCTCTTTCTACAGTAGCCTCCCCTCGGCCCACGGCCCACCTTTGGCTCCACAGGCCCTGCTGTAGTGCTGAAATCTGCCGCCCGGTTGGTCCTCCCTCCGGACTGGGCCACCTGCAGGTAGTGGGCCTAAAAAAGAGGACACGTGCCACGCGATTACCACGAGGGTCCCATCGGCTGCACCCAAATTCAACCGATGAGTTGACCAGGAGGAGAACAGAAAAAGCTAAAAGAAAGACCCATGACCGTAAAACAACCGTGACCACAACAGAAGAAATTAGTGTGGACTCCATGAGAAATGTAAAGACTGACAGAGATGAGAATAGAACCCCAAAAGTAACAAATCATAACTCTGTCAAGTAAACCACGCTAGAGAGTTCTACAGAGAGTTCAGTGATGTTACAGTGAGGGAAAAAAGTATTTGATCCCCTGCTGATTTTGTACGTTTGCCCACTGACAAAGAAATGATCAGTCTATAATTTTAATGGTAGGTTTATTTGAACAGTGAGAGACAGAATACAGAAAAATACATGTCAAAAATGTTATAAATTGATTTGCATTTTAATGAGGGAAATAAGTATTTGACCCCTCTGCAAAACATGACTTAGTACTTGGTGGCAAAACCCTTGTTGGCAATCACAGAGGTCAGACGTTTCTTGTAGTTGGCCACCAGGTTTGCACACATCTCAGGAGGGATTTTGTCCCACTCCTCTTTGCAGATCTTCTCCAAGTAATTAAGGTTTCGAGGCTGACGTTTGGCAACTCGAACCTTTAGCTCCCTCGGAGCCAGAAATCTTTCTGATTGAGAGGGGGTCGAATACTTATTTCCCTCATTAAAATGCAAATCACTTTATAACATTTTTTACATGCGTTTTTCTGGATATTTTTGATGTTATTCTGTCTCTCACTGTTCAAATAAATGTACCATTAAAATTATAGATGGATAATTTCTTTGTCAGTGGGCAAACGTACAAAATCAGCAGGGGATCAAATACTTTTTTCCCTCACTGTATGTGCATAAATCAATCTGGATGAGTTGCAGTATCAGCCTCTATCTAGGTTGCCAAATACATGCAGAAAACATGCTATGCCATGCAAGTGCACACATAGCCATGGTTCAGCGACATAAAAACGGCAAATGAGACAAAAGGGGACCCATTTAGGTGAAAAGGAGCTCAGAGAAACAGTGGTGGGAGTGAACTCAGTGAAGGCGATGTCAGGTAATATCGGGAAAACCTTGGGAGCTGTCTAAGGACTCAACACGTGTGAGGCCTTTGGAATGACAACTGGGAGTACTTCCAAACAAATGGTTTCTGTTTACGCCTCTAATTTTACCCAACGAAAACCTTTACAGTTGAAGTGATGTAGCTAGCAGGGCCATGGGGGAGAGGATGAATGATAAGAGGATGACTGGCCTGTATATTGAAACCCAAGCCCTCCAATTAAACGTTGAGACTAAACAGGCGGGATAGTAACAGTAAGTGTGCACTGGGGACGGCAGCTGCTGAAGCTCTGATGTCTGCTGGTCTATGAGGGAGAGGGGGAGGAATGGAGGGAGGAATGGAGGGATGGGGTGAGTTACAAGGCTGGTGATGGATGAGAGGCTCCATCAGTAATGACAGGCCAGAACACTACACATAAACAGGTGAGAGGGGAGAGGAGACAGCCGATAGGGAGGAAATAGTAGCAGTTGTTTTAGACACACTTTCAACATGCTCTTCCCAGCGGTACTATAGCTGTCAGTTAGCTGCCTCACCAACAGGAGCCACTATAACAGTGTGACACAAACTGCCAGGATAAAGGAGAGTTATCCATCTGTGGAGAGCTCACTATAAGCCTTTCTCTGGGTTCACATGACCATGGATAGAGCAAATCAATGTGAACAGGGGAGCAGAAAATTAGTGGAGAAAAGGAACAGACCGTGACAATGACAGACAAGGTGGGTTGATTGACAGATCTGAAAGAGGGGAGTTCAGGGGTCAGTGTCATCTTGTCTCTGGTTACCTGGGACCTGCGTCCGCGGTCCACATAGGTGCAGATGGGGTTGTAGGCCCCTGTTCCACACACGTATAGGTGGGTCCGGTTCCACGGCTCGATCAGACGGATGAAGTTCCCACATTCCCCCTGAAAGAGAAAAGAAAGAATGCTGTCAATAGGAGACAAGGATAATCATGACATTTTCAAAAAGAAAAGCACATTCCGCTCTCGACAACTAACATCTCCTTTAAGCCTTCTGAGAAAAACTAAATGTCAAATTGATAATGAATAACCTTCAGCTAACCCCCTCAAACACCCTCAGCTACCATTTCTGATTGATCTGAGTCTGGTGTTTGGCTGCAGTACTACTCCCTGCTGGCTTTCTTTATTGGACACACACATGCACACACTCGTACACGCACGCTGAAAACAAACACACACAGAGTTCGGCTTTAGAATAGGATAGGTCAGCGGCCCAGTCTTGGAGGTGCTGGTAATGAGAACAGATCTGTGCCTCTACGATCTGAGGCCCCTAATCTCTCCTACCAGCTGTCTGGAAACCCAGGCCCCTTGCCTTAACCCCAGCCAATCCCCCTGCCTTAACCCCAGCCAATCCCCCTGCCTTAACCCCAGCCAGTCCCCCTGCCTTAACCCCAGCCAGTCCCCCTGCCTTAACCCCAGCCAGTCCCCCTGCCTTAACCTCAGCCTGGCCTCCTTGCTGGCCACAGTAATACAGGGTTATACAGCTAGCGCCAGGCAGGGCATACTGCATGCTGTCCATCGTTTTGCAGTAGAAAAGGATGTACCAACCAACCACAACGAGGTGTGTGTAGAATAGGGGATAAGCCATTTTAGCATAGCTAACCCAAACAACACGACAGATGCAGTCAATTAATTTCATTGTGTGTGTGTGTGTGTTTGTGTGTGCGCACATGTGTGTGTGTGTGCACAGGTGTGTGCATTATTCATTGCACAGTTGTGCTCCCCCCCAAGAGTGCGGTGTGCATGATTGCCTTTGACCTCCTGCCTGAACTGACATCCCCTTTGAATTGCTTTTGAATTGTCATCATCTGTCATTCCCTAAAGAGGGGCCAGTTTTGCCAAGATGTCTATAGCCAATTGAATATTTTATTATTACAGTGTTGGATTTCCACCCCTCTCTCACATATGCCTGCACAACACACACACACACACACACACACACACGCACACAAGCTCATACATGCACACGCACACACAGGGGCCCATACTATGTAGCCAGAGGCGGTGAGATGTGCGGGTTAGCGAGCGAGTCTAAATGAACATTCCAGTAGGATAAAAAGAGGCCTGCTCTCTCAATACCAGCAGGGGAGCACAGTTATTATCCATACCCCCGTCACCTCTCCACCATACCCCATCCTGCATGCCACTGCCCAAATAGACCCCTTAGGGCTTTGTGTGGGGGTGTGTGAACAAATCAAAAGATAAATCAGAGGAGGATTAGACCTTGATATGGATTTAAATGGTGCTCTTAGGTCCACGGGGGGCTTGTGTGTGTGTGTGTGTGTGTGTGTGTGTGTAAAGGATCCTTTGAAACAGATGTGGTAAAACAGGAGCTCTAGCCTCCAGCTACAGTCCTTCTCACCCTAACGGATCATGATTCAAAGGGGTAATGGGAGGGTATGTTGGATAATGACTGAATGATGTCAACAGCACAACTAACCCAAATCTCAAGATGGTTGAGAGAGTATGGTACTTACGTTGGTATCCTTCCCCGACAAAACACACTCTGTCTTCCTCTGAGGAGCCACAGGCCAGTGAATCTGAGAGAGAAAGGAAAGAGCTGGTTAGTTTTAATGCCTCACTATACAGCAGGTCTAGGATCAGTGGTGGCTTTGGGCGTCTCTTACTATGAGCGGCTCCTTGTTGATGTCATGCAGGTCCAGGGACAGGATGTAGTCCTTGCTGCCGACGTACATGCGGTCGTGGTCCTCGTCCATACGCAGGATACGGTAGTCAGTTGAGTTGAGCAGGAAGGAGAAGTGGTGGGCAGTGCCAGTAGACCTCAGCTCTAGAGAGGAGAGAGGAGAAGGCGAGAGAGAGAGAGAGAGGAGACGAGTCGCGAGAGCGAGAGATCTCTCGCCCTCGAGAAGAGTGTCTCCGTGCTCTCGCTCGTCTCGCTCTTCCTTTCTCTTTTTCTCTCCTCTCTCTCTCTCCTCCTCTATAGATCTCTCTCTCCGACTGCGAGCGATAGGAGAGAGAGAGAGGTTTAATCACTGTAGTCATGAACACTGTGGCCGTAAAGTGCAGCATATATACACATTGAGAAACACATGTAACCCACAGAGTGATCCACCCACAGAGTGATCCACCCACAGACTGATCCACCCACAGAGTGATCCACCCACAGAGTGATCCACCCACAGAGTGATTCACCCACAGAGTGATTAGCCTTTATTGGGAGTCAGTTCAGGGCAACACGATCCTAGAACTGGCACAGGAACTTTACAGTAACAGTCTTTTGCTTGCCAAAACTATGAAAATACTCTGTTTTCTTTCTGGAAATGATGTTTCCTTCACATAAAGTCATGACAACCACATCCAAGCACACACACAAAAACAAATCTTGTGACGCTTAGAGTAACTTTAACCACTCATAAACACATGCTCCAAATCTAGACCTCCGACACCCCCACTTCCCAGTAACATCTATAGTAGCCTGCTACTTCAATCTGTTGTTTGGATTCAGTTGTTCTGTATGCAATACGAACCTTCACAGCCTGTTATTATGATTTTGGTTTGACTTATGGTATAGAAATGTAATATACACATCCTAAACGTGACACACAAAGAGTATTTCCATAGACGTTTTCATTCTGTGTAAAAGTCTAATTTAAAGGTGCCCGTCAGACTGTGGGTGATACAAGACTAGCAGGGAATGGACGCTATCTGTTCTGCTGTAATGTGGGAGCTAAGGGAACGCACACTCAGAAAGAAAACGCAACCTGAGTTTACAAGAAGAGTGTTTCGATGTAAATTGTCATGCTGCACAATATCATCATCATAAAACCCTGTAGCCTGTCTGAGAGGTGGGGGCGGGGAGGGGAGAGAGACAGAGGAGGCCAAAACATGGGAGTGTGCCAGATATCTGCGTGCCAGATACTGGCTATCATCTCTGATCTGGCCCTGGTAATGGAAGACTTCTAACGTGACTCCACTCGTTGTGTTCTAGCGTTGTAGGGCCACCTGTAGAGAACAGCCCAGCTGGATCAGGCTACCAACACACAGAAAAACTAACCATACTGGTCATACCACAGTCCAATATTATACCTAGCTTTACATTTCATGTGAACTCATCGTAGTTTGGAAATAAAACCTGTCGCAAATTACTAATCTCTGTCATTAATGGTAGATTGCTGCCGTGGATTAGCGTGTGTCCGCTTCTGTGTGAGTTCAACTGGATGGGAGTTCTGGGACACAGAGTAGAGCTTTGTCCCTCTCCTCTTACCATTAGTTTCAACTAATCTGGTGTGAAAATGGCTCCATTAGAGGTTGAGCGAGAACACTTTAGCTGGGCGGGAATCTGACAGACAATCTATCTCTCTCCCTCAAGGTGGGCCTTCTCTCTCTGTGCAGCTTGGGAAAGTTAATCCAGCATTTTGATCCCAATTGTCCCAGAGGACACCACGATGGAGGTCCTGTTCATTTTCTACTCCAATGGGTGCAGACAAATGACTCCCTGTCTTCTGTAACTTCTACTACTTTTCCAGAGCCCTCTCCATTACCCTGCACCTAATGGTACGCTGCATTGAATCGAAATGAGAAATCTGGAGACAGATTACTCTCAATAAAAAATTCCTCCCCACAACAGCTTTAGTGAACATCTGTCCATGTGGAAATAAAAGTGTATAATATGTGTAAAAATGTGTTTACCCAGATGGAAGAAGTGATTGAGTGAGCTGGGGAGCTCTCCACTGCACACAGAGACACAGGAGATGGTGTAACTGTAATCCTGACATGGATCCGCTGGCAGAAGGCTCCTCAGCTGTTAATGTGGTGGGCGCTAGCTTCTGTCTTTCGGAAACTGTGTAACGGTATTGTCATGGTTTAGCAGGTGTGATCTAGCCACACACAGAGGAAATGGTGATATATAGTGCAAGATGTCTTCCCTTTCTCCTTCTGTTAACGTGAACGCACTTCCAAACACATGCACTTACCCTCACTAACCCTAACTCAGACAGACAGACAAGAGCACCCCTTCTATACAGCCCACCCAGAACAGATACAGGACAGCTACAGTAGTACACACACACACACACACACACACACACACACACACACACACACACACACACAAACAAACAAACAAACAAACACACACACTAAAAGGTCATCTCCCTTCATAAACACCCCAGTCTGAGCAGCCCTGTGTTGTTGTCAGCTCTGGTCATCAGCAGGCTGGACGCCAGCCCTTCCTTGCCGTGCCCAGACATCACTCCCGTCCCATCCCGTGGTGCTGCTGGCTGGAGCACCGGGCCGAGGGGATACTGGAGACGCTGGGTTCAGAGGACACGGCGTCACCAGCTGACATGTGGCATTCATCACCTCTGCGCTGAGATTAGCACTCAGGGTCATTTGAATGGAACCGCTGCCGCCTGCTTGCTCAGTTTCTAACGCTTGGCTGCATGGGGGGAAGTTAGGCAGTGCCAAAGTCCCTAGCAAGTCCAAGGTCATAGGAGAGACACATACACAGACAGACACAGACAGAGACAGACAGACACAGGAATATTACATGTGACAGGCAGACATCCATCAAAAACCTTATCAGTCACACCAGCCTCTAGTGTCAGTCTGTCAAGACATCTCTCAACTGCCTCTCTATACTCCAATAACCTCAAAATCTTTTTATCAATTTCTATCATTTCTGATGTAGAGTATAGAAATCGTTTAACCCTTAGTGAAATAGCTCGAGTGTAGCGCCCAGACAGAGATAACTTAAGACCAACAACCTACAGATCTAGAATTCTGAATTTGGCTGATAAGAACACTTGTATTCTCCAGCTGGCAACAAAGAAGAAAATAAATGACAGTAATTGTAACAGATATTGAGAAACCTACAGAGAATGTTGAAATAGCATGACACTTAATATCTGCTTCAGACTATCCCCTACATAGTGCACTACCTTCATAGCTCTCTGGTCAAAAGTAGTGAACTATTTAGAGAATAGGGTACCATTTGGGATACAGTGTAGCTACTCAGTGGAGCCTCTAATTCAAATCACTAATCAGGGCAAGGATAGTTAAAAAAATATACAGCTGAGGTGCATGCTCCCTGCCTGGAAATGATATCAAAACATTAAATTAAATGAATCACTTTTAAAATAGAAAAATTATAGTCTTAAGTTACATTAAATATTGCTTGTGCGCTGTGGTTTGTTTTGCAAGATGGACATTTCATGTAATTGTGTTTTGGAACGATCACTGCATCCAACAATCATCTTAAAAATACATCACCCCTTTCTGCATTTTCTTTCTCAGAGCAAATTCCCATTGTAAGTAAAGAGCATTATCGGATAATGGAAACATTCTCTGACTATGTTTAACATAAAACAAAACAGAGAAAAAATGATTGGCTTGGGACTCCGCGATGCACATTCCTTGTGGCTAAACTGACTGTACTGTTAAACATGGGTGGTGTCTCTAGTTTCAAATTGGCTGAATGAGAAGCATCAGGAGTGCCAAACATACAGTAAAGCATGCCCTTGCATGAAATATGACTGGAGATCTGGAGACTGGGAGGGAGGGGGGAGGGAGGGGGGAGAGGGACTCTAAGGGAGTGACTGAACAGGATCCACTCTGAGGCGAGATGTCTGCTACTCTACCGCCTGCCTGTCCTCTTCCTCTGTATCTGTCCAAGATTACTGAGCACAACAGGTATACTGTAGGACATGACATGGACGAAGGAATGAACCCAAGGCAAAGCCTGGACGGAGCTACTGGCTATCTGGCTACTTAGCGCTCTCAACCCCGAATCAGATTAGCAATCCTTTTGTGACACCTACAGCACATTGGACTGAAAGACTGACTGGCACCCAGTACTCCTGGTGAACGGCCTATCTTTCTCATTCAGCATATCCTTTCTCGTCACCATGCATGCTCTTCTCAATCAGGGCACATTGAAGTGCAATCTGGCATAGCTGAGAAGTATGTATTTCCCTTGCCATAAGCAGGTTACAGCATGTCTCCACTGTAACTAAGCTACTGGTAGATGTATGGTGAAATCCCAGTTATGGTATGAGGATGGCTCTCAACCCCACATCATCCTACAAAGATGGGATGGGAAAGCTATCATCTACACTGAATAGTGAATTGAAGTCATTCGGTAATAATTTAATACTATATGCCTTTAAGCACACGTTTTTATCCAAAGCAACTTAAATTACAGTGAGTACACATTTAGTCGTATGTGATCCTTGTGAGATAAATGCTCTTCTCAGTTGCGACTCAGATCGTTTTATCTACATATCGACATATTGAAAGTGAGAGGAAGCATATAGAGGAAAAACGTTCCCTTCACATAAATTGTCCATTCAGTGCCAACTGGTGATAAAAATCCACCAGTGATAGGATACAAGTGTTCCACCCAGAGCAGAAGGATCTGGTATATACCACTGGAGCTCTCCCAAAGCCTCTACAACCAAAACCACTCACAGCCAGACAGGGCTCAACTCCACTGGTGTGTGTGTGTGTGTACATGTTTCCCAGGACCTTATGGTTATGATGAGATAAGGTTAAGGAGGAAAGAGGCCTTTGAATTTAAGCACCTGTCCCATTTACTGCAGTTTAGGGGAGATTGACAGGCGAGTTGAGGGAGAACGAAAAAAGGTATTGCAAGCGATTATGGCATGACTTCGGCCTTGGTGAAGAAGACCTTTTGGAACATCCCATCATAATGTAAATGTAATAGGTAGGCCTGAGAATGTAACTAGTGAAGAGCTCT